TGACAAATAAGCCAAAACTGTACAATGGAAAAAAAGAAAGTACCTTCAACAAATGGTGCTGGCATAACTGGATGTCAACATGTAGAAGACTGTAAATAGATCCATATCTATCACCATGCACAAAACTCAAGTCCAAGTAGATCAAAGACTTCAATATAAATCTGGTCACACTGAATCTGATAAAAGAGAAGGAAGTAGGCCTCTGATAAAAAAAAAAGGAAGTAGCCTTGAACACATTGGCACAGGAGTCCACTTCCTAAATATAACACCAGTAGCACAGACACTGAGAGCAATAATTAATAAATGGGACCTCCTCAAACTGAGAAGCTTCTGTAAGGCAAAGGACACAGTAAATAAGACAAACAACAGCCTACAAAATGGGAAAAGATCTTCACCAACCCTACATCTGACAGAGGGCTAATCTCCAAAATATATAAACACAAGAAACTAGACATCAAAATACCAAACAATCCAATTTAAAAATGGGCTACAGAGCTAAATAGAGAATTCTCAACAGAAGAATCTCAAATGGCTGAAAGACATTTACGAAATTGCTCAACATCCTTAGTCATCAGGGAAATGCAAATCAAAATGACTCTGAGATACCATCTTACACCTATCAGAATGGCTAAGATCAAAAACACTGATGACAGCTTATGTTGGAGAGGATGTGGAGCAAGGGAAACACTCCTTCACTGTTGGTAGGAGTTCAAACTGGTACAGCCACTTTGGAAATCAGTATGGCGGTTTCTCAGAAAATTGGGAATCAATCTACCTCAAGACTCAATGATACCACTCTTGGGCATATACTCAAGGCATGTTCAACCACACTGAACATACCACAGACACATGCTCATTTATGTTCATAGCAGCATTATTTGTAATAGCCAGAACCTGGAAACAACCTAGATGCCCCTCAACCGAAGAATGCATAAAGAAAATGTGGTACATATACACAATGGAGTACTACTCAGTAGAGAAAAACAATGGCACCATGAAATTTGCAGGCAAATGGAACTAGAAAATATCCTGAGTGAGGTAACCTAGACTCAGAAGGACAAACATGGTATGTACTCACTCATAAATGGATACTAGATGTAAAGCAAAGAATAACCAGACTACAATCCACAGCTCCAGAGAAGCTAGCTAACGTGGAAGACCCTAAGAGGGATGCATGGATTGCCCCAGGAAGGGAAAATAGATGAGATCTCCACGAGCAAACTGGGGTTCAGGAGGGGCAATAGAGGGTAGGGGATGGGGGATGAGAACATAAGGGAACAGGGCAGTCGAGCTAGAACAGGTACAGAGTGGGAAAGCAATGAAAACAATATCATGATAGAGGGAAACATCATGGGGATAGGGAGAAACTGGGTGCTAGGGAAGTTCCCAGGATTCCACGATGTCCCCAGCAATAGTGGAGAGGATGTCTATACTGGCTTACCCCAGTAATCAGATTGGTGATTAAATGACTGTCATTACAGAGCCTTCATCCAGTAATTGATAGAAGCAGATGCAGAGATCCAGAGCCAAGCAGCAGACGGAGCTCCAGGAGTCCAGTCAAAGAGAGAAGAGAGATTCTATGAGCAAGGGTATCAAGATCATGATGGGGGAACCTACAGAGACAACCAAAATAAACTAGTGGGAACTCATGAATTTTAGACCAACAGCTGTGGAGCCTCCATGTACTGGACTAGGCCCTCTGCATAATCAAGACTGTTATGTAGCTTGATCTACTTAAGGGACCCCCTGGCAGTAGGATCAGCTTCCATTCCTGGTGCACAAGCTGGCTTTTTGGAACTCACTACCTATGGTGGGACACCTTGCACAGCCTTGATGCAGGAGGAGGGGCTTGGACCTGCCTCAACTGAATGTACCAGGCTCTGCTGACTCCCCATGGGAGGCCTTACCTTATCTGAGGAGGGAATGTGGTGTGGTTTGGGGAGGGGGAAGGCTGGGGGGGTGAGAGGAGGAAAGAGAAGGGGATCTGTGATTGATATGTAAAATGAATAAAAAATTCTTAATTAAAAAAATAAAGAAAAAAGAAAATGGGCTGAGCCGGGCAGTGGTGGCACACACCTTTAATATCAGCACTCAAGAGGCAGAGGTAGGCAGATCTCTATGAGTTTGAGACCAGCCTGGTCTACAGAGAGAATTTCAGGACAGTGGGGCTACACAAATGCTGTTTCAAAAAGGGGGGGTGGAGGAGACTGCACAAGCCAAGAGGTAACAAGCCAGTAATCAACACTCCTCAATGGCTTCTGCTTCATATCTTGCCTCTCCAGGTTCTTGCCTTGCATGAGTTCCTGCTTTCGCTTCCCTCAGTGATAGACTGTTACCTGGAAGTGTAAAGCAGAATAACCATTTTCTCCTCGTGTGGCTTCTTTGTGGTTTTATATCAAAGGATAGAAATAAGTTCTAAGAGAATAGTGAAAGGAAAATTTTAAAATCTTTGTACTCATGAAGCATTTTAGAAAGAAAAAAATACAACAATAAACTATACAAATAAATGTAGCATGAATTGTTAAAGGTCTTATTAATAAAAACAAACCCAGGGCCAGTTATTGGGGTGAATGCTGAAAGATCAGAGAAACAGAACCAGCCACAGCTAATCTCACCTCGACAATTCCTCAGCCAATCCTGTTTCCTCAGACTGGAAGCCTGAGTCCTCATCCGAATGGATCTCAGCTGAACTGCTGCTCAAAAGCCTAAAAGCTTAACCAGCTCTCATTCCTGGTTTTCACGCCTTATATACCTTTCTGCTATCTGCCATTACTTCCTGGGATTAAAGGCTCTTGTTACCATGCCTGGCTGATTCCAGTGTGGCTTTGAACTCACAGAAATCCAGACGGATCTCTGCCTTCAGAATGCTAGGATTAAAGGTGTGAGTGCCACCATTTTCTGGCCTCTATGTCTAGTGGCTGTTCTGTTCTCTGACCCCAGATAAGTTTATTAAGGTGCGCAACATACCGGGGGACACAATATCACCACAAATAAATTAGAAATTGGAAACTGCTTAGTGTTGTGGGAATAAAGCAGGAAGAGTGTTCTTGAGTATGGTCAGGAAGTTTACAAGTTTAAAAGATTAGTCAAGGAAGTTCTCAAGAAGTGCCCGCTGGGCAAAGATTAAAAGGAGGATGCAAAGGCTCATCTCTAACACTTGAGTTTGGTGAAACCAAACAGTGAGATGAGAACAAAAACAAGGTAGAGAGGCAGCAAGAAGAGCTGGCCCCTTGTGCTGCCTGCCCAAAGCGGTCTTGACAGTATGTGAATGACACTGCACTGCAGCCGGGGGACCCAGAATGTGCTTGGCTCTGAATTTTATGCCCTGGCAATCTTTTGTGGAACTCAAGTATTACAGAATATCCTGCTGTAGGAAGAACACCAAGAGCCTCAGCTCCTCCAAATAGTTAACTTAGGACCCAGAAGTCTTGGTAGACTTTAGTATTCTGACAAGTCTAAGAAAGAGGGTGGAGAACTAGGTTCCCCTCAAACTAACTTGCCTTCTTAGAGGGAAGAGATTATACAGGTGCCTACTGAGGAGAGATGCTGGAAGCTGAGCAGTGTGCCTCAGAGTTAAGGACATGAAAATAAGCCAGTCTGGCTTAAATGGAGTTAGCGGGGGACAGGAAGAAGAGGTCTGATTTTAGGGCATATAGAAAGAAACTTTAAGGATATGAAACTTTTATTTAGAGCATCACAGAAAGGTGATGCTCTAGAACTCACTATGTAGCCAAGGATGATCAGACTTCTCCTGCCTCCACCTTTGGAGTGCTGGAATTATAAATGTGTGCCACCAAGTTTGGTTTAAGGTGGTGCTAAGAATTAAACTCAGGACTTTTTCCAGGCTAGGCTCTAGCAGATGAGCTTTCCCACCAGCACATACAAACCTTTATTGAGCCTAGTTCACCAGCTCTATCTAAACACTACCTCTTCACTAATTTCCCTTCTGATTATAACAATTTCTTTTCAACAGCCACAATAAAATCTTATGTATAATTCCAAATATCAATGATAGGTATCCCATACATATGCTGTGTGTATATATACATAATCATTATACACACACACATATATATATATAATATATTTATATATGGAAATTTTTTAATTTCATGCACAGGAAACATAAGATACTTAATTGCAATATGAATTTTACACGTGGGGACCTTGCATTTTTAAAAACACTAAAGATGTTCTTGTCATTTTCATCTTCTTTCTTACATTAAGTGGAGGCAAGGGATGTAGAAAGTCTCAACTGGCATAGCCTGTGCTGTTTGACCAACTGCCTCTTGAAAAAATTAATGATCCCTCCAGACACAGACAAGCTGGTTGACTCTTACTCTTCTACAGTGACAAACTAGATAGATGGGTGTTTTCTAAGCAGTTCTCTAAGTTCTTTCTTAACAAAAAGCATACAGAAGACACACTTTAAAACATTTCATTAAAACTCTTCTTCATGAGGTCCTATTTCCAATTTGACTATCATTACAGGGTCCAATTAAGTTTAATAGTCACAAAGCAGATAGCTTGTGAACAAGCACATCACAGATGTGATAGCTAATCCTAAGGCATCAGTTATCATCTCTAAAAAAACCCCAGCATAATGTTGGCTCTCATGTCTTCTAAACTGAACCAAAGAAGTGGGGGTTTGAAACCTAGGAATCTTATCTTCCATAAAATATTATCCTCCTTAGCCTTAATTCACAACTAGTGCTTCATTACTATGCTCTAATAATATTTCCACTAGTTTTATTGGTTATTGTATATACAGTTAAGTATTATTATAAACCATTAAGTATAACTTTAAAGTTATACTTAATATATAAAAATATATAAATATACTTAACTTCTTTAAAGTTTAAAGAAGACTTCTCTTTAAACAAAAATCAGCTGAGATGTACCTCAATTAGTACAAGGCTTAACTAGCATGCATGAAACCGAGTTCCATCCTGTCTTAGTTAGGGTGACTATTGCTGTGATGAAACACCATGACCAAAAGCAACTTGGAAAGGAAAGGCTTTATTTTGCTCACAGTTACATATAACAGTTTATCAACAAAAGCAGCGAGGGTGGGACCTCATGCATGGCAGTAAGCTAGAGACAGGAGTTGATGCAGAGGCCATAAGAGGAGTGCTGCCTACTGGCTTGCTCAATCTGCTTTCTTACATAACCCAGGACTACCTGCCCAGGGATGGCCCCACCCACAGTGGGCTGGACCCTTCCCCATCAATCACTAATTAAGTAAATGCCCTACAGGCTTGCCTGCAGCCCCATCTTATGGAGGCACTTTCTTCATTGAGGTTCCCTCTTCTCAGATGACTTTTGCTTATGTCAAGCTGACATAAAACTATCCAGCATTTGTCCGTTTGACACATAAACACATCACTATAAACCCACAACCTTTCCTTTTTCATTCGTCCCCAAGAACTCACATTAAATATATAAATAACTTTAAAAGTTTCGTAGTCAATAAAAATTCAAACACATTAAAAGTTCAGTCTCTTTAAAATATCCAATCTCTTTAAAATTCTAAAATCTGTTTTAAAAGTTCAAAATCTTTCAGCTGTGGGTTCCTGTAAAAAATCAAAATTAAGTTAAATACTTTCTTCAAGAGGGAAGAACCAGGGCACAGTCACAATTTTAACCAAGACCAAACTCCAACAGTCTAAATAACTCAATGTCCAATTATCTGGGATTCACTAACAATCTTCTGGGCTGCTCCAAGGACCTTGGGTCAATTCTCCAGTTCTGCCCTCTGCAGCACACACAGCTTATCTTCTAGGCTCCAGCTGGCTATAGTCCACTGCCCAAAGTTCCAAAGTCCTTCCACAATCCTCTCCAAAACATGGTCAGTTCTGTCACAGAAATACCCCAGCTTGTCTAAGGGTTAGGGTTGCTATTGCTGTGATGAAACACCATGACCAAAAGCAACTTAAGGAACAAAGGCTTTATTTTGCTCACAGTTCCATGTAACAGTTCATCATCAAAAGCAGTGAGGACAGGAACCTGGGAAGGCAGGAGCTGATACAGAAGCCATGGATGTATACCACTTACCAGTTTGTTCCATTCTTAAAGAACCTAGGACCACCACCCGGGATAACACCATCCACAATGGTTTGTGCCCTCCCTCATCAATCACTAATTAAGAAAATACCTACAGGCTTGAATACAGCCCCATCTTATGGAGGCATTTTCTTCATTGAGGTCCCCTCCTGTCTTAGTTAGGGTTTCTATTGCTGTAAAAAGACACCATGACCAAGAAAACTCTTATGAAAGAAAACATTTAATTGGGGTAGCTGGCTTACAGTTCAGAGGTTTAGTCTATTGTCATGGTGGGAAGCAAGGGAGCATGCAGGCAGATATGGAGCTCGAGGAGCTGGGAGTTCTTACACCTTGACCCACAGGCAACAGGAAGTGGTCTGAGACACCGGGCATGGCTTAAGCATATATGAGACCTCAAAGCCCAACTTCACAATGATGCACTTCCTTCAACAAGGCCACACCTACTCTAAAAAGACCACACCTAATAGTGCCACTCCCTATGGGCCAAGCCTTCAAACATATGAGTCTATGGGGACCATACCTTTTTCAAACCACCACACCTCCTCTCAGATGATTTTTATCCAGAACAATTCCCTAGCACTACACAAAAGCAGGTATGGTGGCACATGCCTTTATTAGCAACCACAATGTCAAAACTTCATGGCTGCAGCTTCCCTGTATATAGAAGGCCCCACATATGGAAGGCACTATCTTGAAGCAGGCATACATCATGAACCTCTGGCTCCTACAGTATATGCTCTTGCTCTTCCTTAATGTTCCATGAAGTAGGGCTTGTGCTGCAGACCTATTAATTTGGATCAAGCACCACACAGTCAGTTGTTTTCTGCATTTTGAAGTTAGTTGATTTCTATAATAGTCTTCATTGGCTACAAAAAGAAATTTGACAAGGGATGAAAGCTACACTTACCTGTGAGTATAAGTATTTAGAATACAGAAATTATCCTAGTCTAGGAAAGGTGGTTGTAGTAGTTTCTCCTCTAGGGTCCTTGACCTCACCAAACATAGATAATGGGCTAGGTTTACTGTTTCAGTCATGAATTAATTGGCTGTTGGGAATCCTCAGGATACAAGTGCCACAACTGAAGAAGTACCATGCCATCCTGGTTATGGTTGTGATTTGTAGGCTTTACAGCTAGGTAGGACTACTGAATACAATTCTATCTTGGCAGCTTGCATAGCTTCTCTTGGTATTATGAGAACTAGTCTTCAGGCAAGGCTTCTACATCAGGTCCAGCTTCATTCCTCTAAGTCTTGTGTCTGAAATGTGTGAAGTCCTCAGCAACAGGTTCTTACCTTCAAAGCACTTATTTCTCAGACTTCCACTTCTCATCTCCTATTTCCACAAGATGGATACATAAGCAAAAGCTACTCCAGGATTGCAAAAGGAGAAAGCCAAACTTGTAAGTAAATAACTTGATTCAATCAGAGTGTTAAAAGAAACAATCTGGGCCCAGACAATTCCCGAGCTCATGCTGGTGAGATGTGTGTTTACCACCATGCAGGCACACTGGGCCATTACCCACTGCCCCAAGAAATTAGTCAGTATTTACTGAGCCTCATGCTAAGTGCAAAAATAATCTGAATAGCTGGTGGCTGTTTGGGATGGATTAGGAGGCGTGGCCTTGTTGGAGAAGGTGTGTTATTGGGAGCTGGCCCGGTGGTTTTAAAAGCACATGGTATTTTCAGCTCACGTTCCCTTATGCTTATGGATCTAGATGTAAGCTCATCTTGTAAGCCCCAAATGAACACCTTCTTATATAAGTTGTATTTGTCATGGTGTCTTATCACAGCAATATTAAAGCAATTAAGACATATGATAAGAGGTAAAAACTGAAGTGTTTAAGGTACAAGACAAGGAAAGCCAAAAACAGGAACCAAATCAGATAGTAGAAAGAAGAAATGAATCCCTTTTACAGAAGTGAGCATTGCCCTGATGACACCTTGAATTCATTCACACTTCAAGCCTCAAAAAACTGAGGCAAAAAAATACATAAACCCAATTTCCATTGTTTTAAATCACTTTGTTACAGCAGCCCATGGAAATTAATTCATCACATTTACAACAGCTTTCTATTAGATTATTTAATGACCAATGATTTAATATTTGTATTTGGAACCAACTATTGTAAAGGAGTAAACATATTAATTATCTCTTTTATAGCAGATGTGTTTTATATTGTGGGAACAGTGATTTTGTTTTTTTCAATATTATTAAAACAATACCAGCAAAATGGCAATCACTAAAGGTAGTATGCACATTCAAGCAAGATGATGAAATGTTTAACCAGGAGTATGAAATGATTATCTAATTCAAGTTTACTCAAAACTAAATAAATGTTTTATTTTAACATAATCATAGTTACAAAAATTTACAATAAACAACCTATTTTATACACATACACATATTTCATCTCTTTATTTGAGTAAAAAGAAGACAACTTTCCACATTCAAGAGGTTTTTAATGTTGTAATGATTACCTAAAAGTAAAGTAACAAGAAAACAGAATTATTTCAAGTAACAAAAAGATCTGTTTCCATAGAATCATTACTTCTCCACGTAACACATACAGCATATAATATGAAATAGAAACAATTTATCTAGCTTAAAGTAACTTATTTAATTTTAATTGCATGAATTCAAAGATACAAAAGTTAATTACCACCTACTGATTGAAAGAGGATCTGGCCGGGCGGTGGTGGCGCACGCCTTTAATCCCAGCACTCGGGAGGCAGAGCCAGGCGGATCTCTGTGAGTTCGAGGCCAGCCTGGATTACCAAGTGAGTTCCAGGAAAGGCGCAAAGCTACACAGAGAAACCCTGTCTCGAAAAACCAAAAAAAAAAAAAAAAAAAAAAAAAGAAAGAGGATCTGAAAGAACACAAATTTCCCGTCATTCTCTAACAAAGGCAGAGTTAAATTAGAAATATGTGCAAGAAGAGAAACCATTCTGAAACCAATCTTTAAATGATCTTTAGAAATGCTGTAGGTTCCTATAAATCAGACACGTACATGCACGCATAGGTAAGAATGAAAGGTGCAATGTTATATAAAGTAATTTTAAAAGCAAATGCTGCTCTTAATTAATTAGGTAATATAAAAGTGTCAGATGGATAGTGTCACATATGGCAGGTTTACTTGCATTATTATTAAATGTTATTACTGTGACTTTCTCTATAGTAGAAATTAGTATTCATTAAAACTAATAGAATTAGAACATTTCTACAGCAGTGCTAGCACACAGTAAGCTCAGGGCTAAGGATGGGGATGCACTCACTGAGCACTTGCCTAGCAATAAGAAAAAGATCTCAGTTCAATTCCCAGCACCACAAGACAAAAGTATATAAATATAGCTACTATTGCCTTCATCACAGTCTGAGCTTTGTAAATGGAAGATTTCTCTCTTTTCCATTTATTTATCCCAAACTTAAAGAGCAATACTTGGCACCACAGTACACTGTTACTCATATTTACTGAATGAAGGTATAAGCAAGCAAATAAATCAAAATACCTACTACCAATGACTTGTAATTTTTTAAAAATACATTGGTCTGTATAGTTAAAACAATCAACTAAAAAGGACCATATACTGTCATAGGAAATAACATTGCAGAAATAACTTCCCTTATAGCTTGGAAGGCAACATAACTGCTACTTAATATTTTTATTCTTTAGCAATAGACATCTGTCTGAATTTCACACATCAAAACACTAATATATACTTACTTAGTGATAAAATGAAAGAAAAATATGTACCAAACTGCTTTGGCATTAATAACATGGTAGTTCATTTTGACCACTGTAGCTTCCACATTCATGGAACTATACACTAGCAACCGTACAGACATTGTAACAATATGAATCAAAATGCTTTAGTTGTTCTTACCTGAAGGAACATAGAACGAATCACCAGTAGTTATCATATACGGTGTTTCATGTAAGGTACATAAAAGGTCACCAAAGTTAACATAAAAAACCTATAAAATTAAAAAATAAAATCTCATTTCAAACTGAACCACAATGACTGTACTTCAGAAATCCTTAAATGAAATGCAACAGGCAAAATAAAGACTCCTCATGGATGTCTGTATTCTAATCTGTAGAATCTGCAATTACATTCTATGTGGCAAAAGAACCTAGAGGCGGAGACTAATCCTTCATTTCAACTGAACCCAATCTAAACATACAAACCCTTAAAGATGAACTCCCCCATACCAGCGACTGACCCCCATACAAACACATCCCAACACACACACACACACACACACACACACACACACACACACACACACACACACACACACACAAAGAGAGAGAGAGAGAGAAGTAGTAGGTAGTAGAAAAATGAGGCAGAAAGAGCAATTTTAAACTTTTTAAGTTTTTTGTACTCTTGCTGGTGGTAAGAAGGGGCCACAAGCCAAGGAACAGGCTATTTGTAAAAGTTGCCAACTTCCAGAGAAACAATGAGAACGTCGGTTCTGTAGTCACATGGGAACTGAATTTTCCCAACAATATCAACAAAACTGGAAGGAAATGGACAGATTGACCCTTTGAAAAGGAAGCAAACCTGTTAATATCTTAATTCCAGACCCGTGCTACTCAGGACAAACTACATAGCCGAGCCTGCAAGATGTCTAACTAGGCAAAATAAGATAATTAAAGGTCACTGCTTTAAGCTACTAGTATGTGGTATTTTGTTAGGTCAATAAAAGAAAACTAAGATCAATTCATTTTTGTTCTAATTTTGCTCATTCAATGTCATTAAAAGGCAATACTACCTTGCTAGTAAACTTTACTAAAAAAAAGAAAAATGTTATACATGCTTCTTCCAAGATGTTTTCTGGATACCACACTTCTCAACAGGAATGATGAAGCCCAGATAGAAAGTCAGATCCATCTTGTGGGTGTGGGGGACGACAAAACAATACAAGACAAAACAGAAAGCCCATCTCACATATTTAAGCATCAGACTAAAAAAGAAATAGGATAAATTTGCTTTTCAGCTGTATTGGCTTCTAATTCAAAGATGGCTAACTTCATAATTTATTTAGATGTAGACATACTGTTAACTATCTGTTTTGGAGACAACAAAAATAAATACAAAGTCTCCAAACTTTAAGATGTGCCTACTGCTAGGTTTATCATCAAATTTCATACTTTGATGTCTCAATTCTCAATTTGATGGTAATAGTATGGAGCCATTCTGAAAGGATGATACAGTATCCTTAAAGCTACACTAGAATGTTCTCTCCTTTTCTGTCTCTCTCCTTCTTCCCTTCTACCCTTTCTCTCTCTCTCCTCTGCTCTCTCCTTCTCCCTCCAACCCCTTTCCCCACTTCTCTCCTACACATAAACCAGGAAGTATGCCTTCACCAAACACATCTCAGTCTCTAAAACTGAGAAATAAATGTTCATTTTTGGAGACACTAATCTATAGTACTATGATTAAACTAAGGTACCCATCAAGAATATTTTGCTGCCGATAAAATGCCTATGTTTGAAAAGTGGGGGCATAGAAGCTGGATAACTTTCAAAAGTCAATGAAAGGACAGAACTGGGATTAGAAGTGTGCACTCTGACTCCACAACTGACATTCCCAACTTCTACAAAAGGATAGCTCTCTAAATGGAGAAATGGTCCTCAATTATTTTTGAGAAACTAGAAAAATTTTGAAAATTCTTATGTCATCTAAAGACCTGCCTCAAGTAGAAAAGGTGAATTTAAAGGTATGCATATATCTCTAGATCATTTTCCTTATCTGGTCAGCTTGGATCTCTTCTCATTTTTGCCAATATTTAATTAAGATAATCTTTATTTAAATGAGAAACAGCTCTACATAGACATCAAATGAGAACATACAAATAGCTAATATTTGAATATCAGAATAACAAACTTATCAATAGGAAAAGAAAAGTTACAAGCTATCACCTTACCCCACTAAGAAAGATTATTTTCAAAAAAATTAACAATAAGCCGGGCAGTGGTGGCGCATGCCTTTAATCCCAGTGCTCGGGAGGCAGAGGCAGGCGGATCTTTGTGAGTTCGAGGCCAGCCTGGTCTATGGAGCGAGATCCAGGAAAGGCGCAAAGCTACACAGAGAAACCCTGTCTCGGAAAAAAAAAAAAAATTAACAATAAAAACTGCTGGTAAGGATATGTACGGAGAGAAGCAAATGTTTCTATTCTATTGGTGGAATGTCATTTAGTGTGTGCCTTATGGAAAACACCACTTAGATACCTCAAAAATTAAAACTACAGCTATAATATAACCCAGCAATTCCTCTAATGGATACAAATACACAGAAAATAAAATGAATATATTGAAGAAAGTACCTGAGGCTCTCATGTCCACAACAATCAAGCACTAGAAATAAACTAAGTGCTCACTGTCCAATGGGTGGATATAAAATGTGATACACATACAGCATGGAATATTATATCATAAAAAAGAAAATCTTATTATTTGTAACAACAAATAAAACTAGAGATCTTTAAGTTGAATAAGCCACCAACGAAAAAGACACTCCTGGAATATAAAAAAGCTAATCCCGATGGGTACTAAGTTACAGGTAGAGAGACAGAAGCAAAAAGCTCTGACCCACAAAAAGGCTACAACAGAAAATACTCTGTACATTTTTAAAGCAGTAAGAAACATTTTTTAATTTCTTTTATTTTTGAAGTTATAATTACATCATTTCCCCTTCCCTTTCCTCACTTCAAACCCTCCCATATACCCCTCCTTGATCTCTTTCAAACTCATGGCCTCTTTTTCTTCAATTGTTACTATATGTATATATGTACATCTACACACATATATATTCCTAAGTATAGCCTGCTCAGTCTGTAGGTCACTGTGTGTATATGTCTTCAGGGATGACCACTTGGTACTGGACCACCAGTTGCTGTGCTCTTCCCTGGAGAGGACTCTTGCTCTTGCTCTCAGAATTCCTTAGTTGCTTGCTGTTCTTTGTATAGGGTTGAGGCCTTGTGGACTTTCCCCTGTCCATTTTTACCATGAAGCAATGATAAAACTACGAAATATAGGTATGTTTAACCTGATTTAAATAGTATATAGTATATCACACATGCATCAAAACATCACATTACTCTCTATGTATTGCTTTTTAACTCAGAGGAAAAATAATAAGATTTAACTAAACAAAGCATGATTCAAATGTATTAGAAAACATGTTTTTTGAGGGGCTGGCGATGGTTCAGGTAGTAAATGCAAGCATGAAGACCTGAGTTCAGATCCCAGTACTGCAGTTAAAAAAACAAACAGGTAACATAGCACATGCCTATAATACCAGTGCGTGGGTGGTGAAGACAGGAAGATCCTAAGGTATCATCGCCCAGCCAGTCTAGCCAATTGGAGAGCTCCAAGTTTAGGAAAGACTTTATCTCAAAGAATAAGGTAGAAAAGCAACTGCAATCAACCCAATTTCCATGTGCATATGTATACCCTACCCATACACGTGCAGCCCCACCAACACAGGCACATTCACACACACACACACAAAAGAATTTGATACATACAAAAACAGAACGAAATGGCAAATATCTACGAACACCTATAACAAACTACCTGTCCAATATACAGTCTATTTCCTTCATTAGTTAGTATTTGAGAAGAAAGCCTAGCATAAATAGTTTATAAGCATTCATTGTGTACTAGAAGATTAAGTCCTTCATAAAAATATAACCACAATATTGCCATTGCTAAAATTAATGTTCAAAATTCTAATTGTGTTAACCACATATTTGCAAGGATTTTTTTGGACTAGGGTATACATTAGAGGTGCACACAGTGACTGGTCAGTCCTTTCAGCCAATAGCAGTGGTCTCTATAAAGGCTGATTGATTGTTCTCCTCAGGATACAACAGTTTCTGAAAACATAACTGTCACTGCCTCATGTGGTACCAGTAGGGAGACTCTAGGGAAGCTTCTAAATACCCTTCTATATATAGGATAGCTCCCTGCTTCAATAAAAACTATCACGCAGGGCAAAATGTCAACAGCGCTATGTTGGGAAGCCCTGACATAGAGGTTTTACCTGGTCCTCTCTCTCTTTTCAGTTCCTACTGCTCTCCTACACACACAGCAGGACTTTGCTCATTATATTCAGTTTCAGCTTTCTTTCATTCCCTGTAAACTAGTAGTTCGATCTAGAGACCTTCCATGTTGTCTTTTTCCAGTTTCTATGTATTTTAAAGAGACAGAGACACTAAGATTACTCAGAACTCTATTTTTCTATCAGAAAATACATGTCTAACTATGCTCCTTACAGATGTCAGCAGCCACTGATGCTCAGTGCCCACATTAAGTAGTTTATTGAGGAGATGCAAAATGGTGATATTTCAACTGTAACATTCCATGTTCATTCAGTACCTAAGTATTCCTAACAAGAAAATTCTCATCTATTGTCTGACTACCTAGCTGCAGACTTTGTATGGGAAAGGGAGAATAAAAGATTGATTTCCCCCTCAGCTTAACTATCAGCCGGGAACATGATAAGAAGCTTCCAAGAAGCCTTCAGAATTAACACATTAATTTTTCTTTCAGAGGCTGGCTAACAGTGATGGACTCAGACATAACTGAAGTACATCAGCCTACTAAGGTGTTCTTACTGATGCTGCAGTGCAGATTTTATCCTTGGCCAGTGGAAGAGCATCTTCAAGCTAGCTGCTGAGATGTTATTACCTAATCCTATTCATCTGCGGTGGTCTTCCATCAGGTATGGTGTGATAAAAATATTCAAAGCTGAGCCAAAGGCCCCAAATCAGGCATTTCCCCCCAAGAAATGGAGAAATGGTTAATGTGAGCAGGTCGAGAAGTTTTTTGGCTTTAGTTCTGGATTTTTCATTTAATTTTAAAACTGTACTTTCAGCCCCTTTTTTAAAAAAAGAAATTCTGTCTTTAACATTCCTACTATTTGAGTACATTGTCATGTTTTGTTCTGTTATTCATACCATTTTTTATTTAACATTTATTTTATTTAATTTATTTGGGGGAGGGGGGTACAAGCCACAGGCCACAATTAGGAGTTGTAGACACCAGTTCTCTCCTTTCCGAAGCTGTCAAGCGTGGTGGCAGGCGCCTTCACTCAGCGAAGCATCCTGATGGCCCTCCTTACCTTCCCCACTTACTATTTCTAAGTGCTCTTTTGTTTATTAGGGAAGATCCATCATCAACTCTAATAGTACACTGTTAATCTTTTTTGGTCTGGTCTCCTCCTCCTCCTCTTCAGACAGGGTCTCTAACATTATATCAGGAAAGAGCTAAAGGTAAAGGCTGGGGCTCTATTCTTGTCTCTGTTTTTCAAAATCATATCAAGTGTGCTTCAAGTTTTAAAAATAGGCAAAAAATACTTCGTATGCTAACCTAAAGAATTAAGAAAAAATGTTCCTATTATTTAGAAAATACTTAATGCTGATTTTCAGTTAAAAATTAGTACTCAATTTGAGGCCAGCCTGGTCTCTAAAACGAGTTACAGGAAAGACCCAAAGCTACACAGAGAAACCCTGTCTTGAAAAACCAAAAAACAACAACAACAAAAAAATTAATACTCAAGGCAAATAACCGATCACATAGTAACACGTTTTTCCATATTTGCTTGCCATTTACACTTTCAAACTCTAATCAGGGGCTAAAGATGCAGCCCAGTGGAAGAAACTTGTCTAGCACATACCAAACCCTGAAGTTCCATTCCCAACACACAGTAAAGCAAACAGAAAGTTAATATATATATATATATATATATATATATATATATATATATTTGTCTTAAAAATTTGCTTTAGAACTTTAGCCCAAAGAATTTCTCATGTGGCTAGTATTAAAGATATGTTTGAGATAGTTTTTAAATGTACAGACACTTCTTAGATTACATTTGAAGCTATATAACTTTATTTTGCCACACATAGTGGCTTATGTTATTAAGCCAAAATAAAAATATAGCCATTTTCTCTCTGTAGTATGTTCTTCTTTTCCAAATTTTCCAATTATAAGCAATATTACAAATAAGTGTAAATAATCATTTTGTATTCTAATATAATAAATTCTATTAATTCATTATAGTGTCACTTGTTTTAAAACGTGGATCCCTTTGACTACTAACCAGGTTAAATATTTCAAATATTTATTATTTAAATTTCCTTTTCTGTAAAGGCGTTACAATTGAACGGGTAACTACTATTAGGTCTGTGATGATATAAAATGTCTTCATCATTAGTTACTCTTGTATCCACTGTATTAAATAAGTCATTAAGAATCATGGAACAGGAGCTAGAGAAATGCCTCAATGGGAAAGACACTTGTTACACAAGCACGAACAGCAGCACCTCCGTCAAAAGTCGGCTGTGGCATGTGTACCTGAACCCTAGCAGTACAGGGAAAGAGGTGGAGGGACAGTCAGGAGAAGCGCTGGGCTTGGGTTTGTCATCCTAACTGCCTGTTCAGTGAGGTCCTGTCTCACGGGAATAAAGCAGAGAGAGTAACTTAGCAGGACACCATCTGGTCTCTGCACCTGCCATGTGTGCACATACCACACATACATATGTACACACAACCACACCTGGAAAGCTACAGAACAGTAAGACTGAAATTATTTTAATTGATTCTAGTCATCATGATGCAACAATAAATTATTCTTGCAATGTCCCTTATTTATAATGTTGCTAAAATGATGGCATAATATTAAATATCTTTAAAATATACTTCATAGGTTCTATTTCATTTTAGAATGAAATCAGAACTCATGAACATATGCAGAGCAGATACTGAGACAAAGGGAGAGGAAGGAGGGAAGAAGGGAGAGAGGAAGAGAGTGAGATAAAATAACTCATCATAAATCTCATTGTAACTTCAGACCCTATCAAGTGCAACAGCCTATGGTACTGATTGATGCAGCTAGCCCTTTGTCTCCAGGGAACTCTTAACCAGTTAAGTCATTTTTAAACTCTTTTGATTCTCAACAAGATGATTACAGAAATTCACAAGACTTAATCTCTATAATCCCTTCCAGCTCTAAAATTCTATTTATTTGCAAATCTGTATCCAAAGATTCTCTTAAAAAACAATCACACCTTAAATCACTGAAGCTCAAGGTTGTGCTATACACAGTACAGGTATTTTTAAATAATTACTGACTGGCTAACCACAATAGATTTAATAAAGGAAAAGATTTCTTTGTGCAGCATAACAATGGGATTTCACTACTAACTAAATAGAATTTTAATGTATCAGAGAAAAAAATTCAGTTGTACTTCTAGAAAAACAGAAATAAATGGAGAAATATACTCACCAATATATCTTGGCCAACATGTTGCTTTCCTTTTTCTTCATGGGGTCCTAAAACCAATTTTCCAGTAGAAAAAACTGCCGTATCCAGTGTTTTAAAAACTTTCAAACCATGTTGCTCCACAAAAAATTGGTATGTATCTCGTGGTCTTATAAGATCTAGGAGGAAGAGAATAATACAAATATAAACCATCACAAGCTACAACAGCCTGTAACTGTGGTCTCAGCACTTAGAGAACTAAGGAGGGTCACAAATTAGAAGTCCATCTGGGCTATGCATGGGAAACCCTATGTAATAGTAGTGTTCAATGATATACTAAACGTTTATAGACACCTCATTTAGACCATGCATACATAGAGGAAGCACTATTACACAGGGTGAAGATGACTGAATCTGGAGCTGGAATGCCAAAGGTCACACTCTGCCTGGCTCATAAACTGCATGACTTTGGACTACTTAAGTTCTCTCTCTAAGCTTCAATTTCCTTTCCATAAAAATGAGCAACAGCCTATGTTTAAACAGCTTCTGTGAACATCAAAGAGTTAATATAGAACAAAAAGAAATGACTGGCTCAAACTGAGCACTATGTTATTTATCTTAGCTTAACAACACTGGAACTGTTTTTACTTCTATGGAGGCTAAGAAGGACAATAATATTAGGGAGACACAATAAAGAGCTTCGTGTCTTTACAAAGCTGAACAAAGTCCAAAATAAAAAGTGTCATCACAGTAACAATAAATTGGTTTTTGTTCATTCGATGATTAATCAGAAACATTTTTATTTAATTAAGCAAAGACTACAAGAAAGCAGAATATAAGCCTTAGCTCCATAATCACTCTCTCATTTCAGGTTTCCTTTGCATTTATGAACCTTTTCAAGCCTCTTAATGCATTCATTAATCATAGCTTCTGGCTCTGTGTCACTAGATATTTGAGAATGTTAAGGGTCAATATATACAATGCAATAAAAAAAATGCATAGACTATTGAAACAGATAAAAGTTGAAAAAATTTTTCTGGCCTGGAAGGGCTCAGTTTTCACACTAAACAATGCCTTCTGTATTTCAACCTCTGAAATACAGAATGACTCTAAAGATGATAAATGTAAACTAGTTCACAGACAAAATTTAAGTTGGAATATCATTAGTGACTTCTAGTTTGACCAATCTGTTTGACTTGAGAAATAGTTGTTATTACTTCTGATAGTCTGTGGTGGTTTGAATAAGAATGGCCCCCACAGGCTCATATATTTGAATGCTTAGTCACCAGGGGTGTGGCCTTGTTGGAGGAAGTGTGTCACTAGGGGTGGGCTTTGAGGTTTCAAAAGCTAACGCCAAGTCCAGTGTCTCTGCTTGCAGATCAGGATGTAGCTCAAGTACCCCTCCAGCACCGTGCCTACCATGCTTGTGGCCATGCTTGCTGCCATGATAATGGACTAAACCATAATGATAAATGAAAGTGTGAGCATGCCCCCAACTAAGTGCTTTCTTTTATAAGAGTTGCCTTGGTTAATGGTCTCTTTTCACAGTAATAGGACAGTGACTAAGGCACAGTCCTTACAGTTATTAAGATATTTAAGTACTTCCTATACGTAAATACTGCTTGGGTGGTATGGTGGTTTGAAAGAAAATGGCCCCCAAAGGGAGCAGCACTATTAGGACGTGTGGTCTTACTGGAGTAGGTGAAGTCTTGTTGGAGTAGGTGTGGTCTTGTTGGAAGAAGTGAGTCACTGTGGAAGCAGGCTTTGAGGTCTCATATTTGCTCAAGCCGCGCCCAGTGAGACAGTTGCCTGCATATCAACATGTAGCAGTTCCTTCTCCAGCACCATGTCTGCCTGCATGCTGTCATGCTCCCCACCATGATGATAATGGACTAAACCTCTGAAACTGTGAGCTCCCACTTCAATTAAATGTTTTCCTTTATAAGAGTTGCTATGGTCACAGTATCTCTTCACAACAATAGAAACTTAACTAAGACAGTTGGTAAACACCCAAGTATTCCCTAAACCCCTATACCACTAGAGTTTATTCCTTAGAATTGTGTATGGCCTTCCAGAAACTAAATGTTTAACATCTATGTAATACAGTATGAGGCTTCTAGGTTCTTAACATTAATGCTAATGTTTGTATGGCCGATTGATGCTATTATACAGTCATCTTCACAAAGGTTTCATGTCCCAGATATCATTATTGGTGTCCAAAGGTTCAGAAGATGGTGTGTACCCTGGCCTAAATTCCACTTGGTCACATGGACTACATCCTGGGGCATACCAGTTAACTTTCCATAATTTCCCATAGAAAGTTCCTCACACTTCTTCCCAGTTATAGAAGGCCTAGGCCTACTGGAGGAGATAACACACCTGGTAGGTAATAGTTCCACGTGAACTCCAGAATTCAGAACACAAACACATAATACTGTACTTAACATAAATGCTCATCCCTAATTATTCTCACAGAGGCTGTTTATTGGAATAGACTTTAGTGCTGAGAGAGGAAGAGGGGAAAGAGGGAGGGAAGAGGTAAAGGGAGGGAGGAAGGGAGAGAGGGAGGGAGGGAGGGAGGGAGGGAGGGAGGGAGGGAGGGAGGGAGGGAGGGAGGGAGAGAATACACACACAAACCAATCATTCAATAGTTTCTGTTAAATTATTTTCGGTATCATTCCCAAGCTTACCCATAGGGACAATCTCTCTTGTTTCTGGGTCCTTTGCCAATGTTGCCTGAAAGGGATCTCCTAGAGTTATATCCAAATTCAGTACTAACCTATCCTCTGTAAAACAAATACCATTAAAATAAAACTTAATTAATTAATCTCCATTATAAAAAAAATCAGTACAAAATATGAGAGACAAGTTGTAAAGAAAGCTGACAAAGATTTAGCAATCTCTTCCTGATCATATGTTAGCACACTAAGAAACAAAATTTTAAATTCTAAGACATATTTAATGTAAAACCAATACCTCTGTGAGCCATTATGTAAACTTTCATTTCAACAAAACACTAAATGATGATTTGTATATTCCCTCAGAGCTGCAATCATGGCAAAGTTCTGAGAAAGTTCATTAAATGTCTACTGTAACCATATTTTGAGCATGGAAAAGGGAAGGGTCATATGACTCTTCAGTAATGCACTCATAAGGAAATATTTTATACTATACTGTACAGCTATTTTTATAAGAATAAAATTGTCCTACATTCTAAATTGCAGGGGGGCAACATTATAAAGTGGCTTTTACTGAAGAGAATACTATGTCTCAAGTTTTTAAAAGGTATGAAGTCTAAGTTACATTAGAACATGCTCATCATACTTTCAGAGCTATCACGATGTATCCACTTCCTGTTAGCTTTTTTGTTGACTTTGGCCAGGTTTCTTTTCGACGTTCTTCTGGGTGATACTGGAGGTGGGGATACTATTCCAATGACAAGTCTTCCTAAAATTTAATAAAAAAGGTAAAAATAACATTCCTGGGGACTTCAAAAGCTAAAAGCAAAACATTAAATATATTTCTTTTCAAAGTACCAAGGGAAATGCTGTTACTACATATTACAGCTGTTAAAGTGACACAAATTTTAACCAATTTCATTTGTGCCTCTAACACTCTAAATCTAGAAGCACTGATGAGACAAGACTCAATGACTGTTTACTCACCCAAAATCAACAGTTATCAATGGAGGGCTAAAGACAAAAAAGAACGCTCTAGAAACTAGTAATGAACTTGAAGGAGTAAGCCACATGTAAGTGTCCTTTAGCATAGCTACATCCATCTAAATAGGGAAATAACTTTATCACTTAGTTCCTTGTTAACTCTCTATAAACAGAATAGATGCTAAGAATGAGAAAGACACCATTTTTATCAGATACATTCTAGTATGTTTCATTTTAGGCTAGAAAGACAGTTCACCAGTAAAGAGATTGTTTATACTGCTCTTATAAAGGACCAGAGTTCAGTTCCCAGCACCCATGATGGGTGCCTCACAACCACCTCGTCAATCCAGCTCCAGGGGGATCCAATGATTCTTTGCCTCTGTGCATATCCTCACACCCACCCACATTCATATAATTAAATAAAAGTTAAAATGATTCACTTTATGCAATCAGAAACCTCAGATATTTAAGTGACAATATCTACAAAGTCACAGAGTCAAATAGATAGTAACAAAAAAAAGGGAAAAAAGTCAACACCTCTAAAATAATGAAACAAATCTGAATGAAAACCCAATTTTCAGATGTCTGTATGTGGGAGGTGATGATTAAATGAGGTAATGTATAATAATGTGTAGGCTAGGGCCTGTCACATGATAAAATTAATTAGAGCAATAATTCCTTCCTTTATAAGACATTATCATCTAAATTAGGTCTTACCTGATGGCCTTTCTTGATAATCTATCCGTTCCCCTCGCCAATATTCCAGAGGTTTCAAACGTATTCTCTTTGTTCTACGAACATTTGGTGAGTTGGAGGGCAGTACTGCCAAAAGTTAACAAAAATTCAAAGGCTGGGTAAACATAGTAAAGATGCATGCCAACCCTTAGAACATAATGTTTCTATGATGAGACAAAATCCACAAATTTTTAGATGTTTGTGCAAATAAATAAAAGTCCATGAAAAATGAAGCCTCTAGATTGGCCAAGAAATAAAAGTTTGATAATACCCACGTGTGAGAATGTTAATGGTATTATCTGAACAATGCTACACTCCATATATTAAACAGAATTGGTTCTTATAATTTGAGACTCCATTAGTTTATGACTCCCGCTAACCTGCAGAACCACTTCTACCAGGGACCCCTGCTATGGGATGTTCTGTATGCTCTGAATGTGTTGCTCATAAAATGCTGATTGGCCAGTAGCCAGGCAGGAAATATAGATGGGACAAAGAGAGAGGAGAAGGCTGGGAGTGGAAGGCTGAGTGAGGAGACGCTGCCAGTCACCAGCCAGACACAGAGGAAGCAAGATGTGAAGGCAGAACTGGGAAAAGGTACCAAGCCACATGGCTAAACATAAATAAGAATTATGGGTTAATTTATGTGTAAGAGCTAGTCAGTAATAAGCTTAAGCTAACAGCCATACAGTTCATAAATAATATAAGCCTCTGTGTGTTTACTTGGGTCAGAGCGGCTGTGGGACTGGTGGGTGAGAGAGATTTTTTCCTGACCACTGGCAGGCTGGGACACAGGAAAACTTCAGCTACAGCCCCCCACCCAGTCACAATATATGGCTAGGTCCCAAGTGGATAAACTTTATCTTCCTTCCTGCTCTCCATTCCAGTTTCTTTAGACCAACTTTTAGGCCTGCTGCAGCTTGCCCACCTTAGTAACATCTCCCAAGCCCATTTCCAAGTCCTTCAGACTCAGCCTGTTGGTGCAGAGTTCTTCCTTACCACATCTGTCAGCCTTTCCTTCTATCCCATCTCAATTGCATTATGTCTTCTCACTGAACCACAGAACTACCAGGGACCCCAGTCACCACACTTAGCTGGGAATCAGGGACTCCAAAGAAACCACGGTTGGTTAGGACCCAGAATGGACAATAGCAACCAAAATAGAACATCCACCACATAACAAAAACAAAAAGCGTTAGCTATGCCAAGAATCACTTCAAAAGTCATTAACTTCAGAAGCTAGATCCCAGGGCCAAAAAAATAAAAAAAAAAAAAAAAACCAAGAATATGAATAACTAAGACAATACAGGACAGTATAATGCCTCTTTCAGAAGCTAGTAATCCTATTATTGTAATAGGCCCCAAGAAAAGCATTTTAGCTGAAGCACAAGAAAGGACTTCAAAACTGGCAACAAACAAATATGTTCAAAGATGTTAAAGAGGATATGAATAAATGTGTTAATTAGGACTATGAAAACATAAACAGTTGAATGAAATAATGAAAATGATTCAAGATATGAAGGTAGAATTTAACAAAAAAGAACCACTAAAGAAAACCCAAACAAAAATAAAACTAAATAAAAAGCTTATGATGTCAAACAGAATCCTCAGAAGTAAGCCTCGCCAAAAAAAGACATGGAAGAGAGTCTCAGGTGATGAAGAAAAAATAGAAGAAATAGTTCAGTTAATGAAAATGATAAATCTAAAAAAGCCAGGCACAAAACAACCAGGAAACATGGGACACTACAAAATGACCAAACATACAAATAATAGGTGTAAAGGAAAGAGATGAAACCCAGGTCAAAGGCATAGAAAATATTTTTAATGAAACCATAGAAGAAAATGTCCCCAATCTAGAGAGAAATACCTATCAAGGTACACAAAGCACATAGAATACCAAATATGTGGGACTAGAAAAAAAATTCAAACCAGGAAACCTAAATAACAAGTTCTTGATATATACAACTTACCAAAGTAAAATTGAGATGAAACAATTTAAACAGATACGTATCACCAAGTAAAACAGAAAGAATAATTAAGAGCCTCACATCCAAATACCAACAACAACAAGCCCATGGACAAATGGATGCAGAATTCTACCACAAATTTTAAGAATGAACACCAAAATTCCTCAAATTATTCCACAAAATAGAAACTGAAGGAATATTTCCTAATTCATCATACAAAGCCAATATATTACACTGATACCAAAATTATACAAAGACTTAACAAAGAAAATTAAAGACCAATCTCTTTTATGAACATAGTTGTAAAAATTCTCAACAAAATACTTGCAAATCAAATTCAAGAACACATCAAAAAGATTATCCACCATGATCAAGTGGTATTCATCCCAGAGATGCTGGGATGGTTCGACATACATAAATCAATAAATGTAATCTAACACACAAACAGACTGGAAGACAAAAATCACAAGATCATCTCATTACATGAAAAGACCTTTAACAAGCATCTAACATATATGTGTGTGTATATGTATGTGTGTATATGTGCATATATGTGTGTATAAGTGTGTGTTTGGATGTGTGTATAAAGGTGTACATGTGCATGGTATATATGTGTGTGTATGTATATGTATATGTGTGTGTGTGTGTGTGTGTGTGTGTGTGTGTGTGTGTGTGTGTGTGTGTATGTGTGATAAAAATCAGGGAGACACTAAAGATCCAAGGGACATAACTCAACATAATACAGCCAATTAAAAGCAAGCCCACAACTAACATCAACTAAATGGAGAGAAGTTCAAAGCATCTCCGCTAAAATCAGGAACAAGACAGGATGTCCACTCTCCCCATACCTATTCAGTATAGAACTTGAAATTTTAGAAATATCAGTAAGATAACTGAAGGAGATAAAGGGGATACAAATAGGACAGGAAGAAGTCAAAGTATCTTTATCTGTAGATGCTAAGACGTTATACATAAGAGACCCTAAGGATTCCACCAGGAAATCCCTACCGTTGACAATCTTCAGCAAAGTAGCAGGATGCAAAAGTAACACACAAAAGTCAGTAACTTTTCTATATACAAATGACAAAAAGACTAAGAAATCAGGAAAACAGTACTTTCCACAGTATCCTCAAAACAACAACAACAAAATTGGGATAACTAACAGTCAAAGACAATGCAAATTTTAAGACATTGAAGAAAGAAACAAGACACCAGAAGATGGAAAGATCTCCCAAGCTAATGGATCTGTAGGATTAATGTTGTAAAAGGGGCCATCCTACCAAAAGCAATCTACAGTTTCAATACAGTCTCCTTCAAAATTCCAACACAATTCTTGACAGAATTAAACACCCTTCAACTTCATATGGAAACAAGCAAAACAAAACAAACTAAGGAAAAAAAAAAAAAAAAACAGGATAGCTAAAAGAATCCTGAATAATAAAAGTAGTTCTGGAGTTATCACAATTCCAGACTTCAAGTTATACTATACAGAACTACAGTAATAAATACAGCATAGTATTGGCATAAAAATAGACACATTGATCAATGGAATCAAACTGAAGACCCAGCCATAAGGCCACTCACCTATGAACACCTGGTTTTGACAAGCCAAAAACACAATGGAGAAAAGACAGCATCTTCAGCAAACGGGCAAATTGGATAGCTACATGTACAATGAAAATAGATCTATATCTCTCATTCTGCACAAAAATTCGACTCCAAATGTAAAAAGGACCTCAATATAAAACCAGATACCCTGAATCTAACAGAGAACATGGGAAAAAAGCTTGAACTCATTTTCAGCAAAAAGACTTTCTGAGCAAGACACTCAGAGACTAAGACTATGGTGGTTTAAATAAGAATGGCCCTCAAAGGCTCATATATTTGAATGCTTGGTTCTCGGTGAACTGTTTATAAAGGATTAGGAGATGTGACCTTGTTGGAGGAATTGTGTCACTGGGGCTGAGCTTCAGGTTTCAAAAGCCCATGCCAGGTCATCTTGCTCTCTCTCTGCCTACAGAGCATGGATCAGGATGTAAGCTCTCAGCTACTGCTCCAGCACCATTCTTGCCTGCCTGCCGCCATGCTCCCCACAGTGGAAATGGACCATCGCTTTGACACTGTAAGCAAACCCCCAAATAAATGCTTCCTTTTATAAGTTGCTTTGTTCATGGTATTTCATCACAGCACCAGAACAATAACTAAGCCAAAGACCAATAATAAATGAGTTCTCATGAAACTGAAAAACTTCTGGACAGTACAGGACATCATAATTTGAACACAACAGTAGTCAATAGAATGGGGGAAAAATCTTTACTAATTATGCATCTGACATAGGGTTCATATTTAGAATATATTAAGAAATAAAAAACTGAACAAGTAAAGAAATTAACCCAATTTTTAAAATGGGGTACACAACTAAACAGAGTTCTCAAAAGATGAAACACAAATAGCTGAGAAATACTTTTAAAAAGGTTAGCAGCCTTAACAATCAAGGAAATATAAATAAAAACTACTTTGAGGGGGCTGGAGAGATGGCTAAGTAGTTAAGCGCACTGGTTGTTCTTCCAGATGAGCCAGGTTCAATTCCCAGCACCCACATGGCAGCTCACAACTGTCTGTAACTACAGTTCCAGGAGATCTAACACCTTCACACCAATGCATATAAAATAAAAGTAATAAATTATTTAAAAAAAACTACTTTAAGATTTCATAATACACTATGAAATGCTGAGAACTGAATATATAATACTAATTGGGATATATTTTCCCTGCTTAAAAAAATTAAGTTATGTTTATAGAGAGATTCAATAATACCATTTTCTTCAATGGAAATACTGTAAGAATAAATTATTTTACCGAATTTGTGATGTATATTCCTATCTGGTGGCACATTAGAACTTTTTCTTAAATCTGCAAAATACAAAAGATAGTATTATAAACAATACCACAATGCCTGCTAATTCCATATTGACTTAAATTACTATCTGATCAACTTTCACTAAGTATTATAAATAAAATTTAAACCTGAAAATATAATTTATACTTTCGTTTTTCATTGAGTAACAATACAAACTAAGGAAAAAACAGTACAACATTTCTTTACACTTTGATACAACAAACATATTTAAAGAGCACAACCATTAAAATTAACAAAAAAACCTCTATTATTCATGACTGGTAAATAATCCACTAGCAAATAAAAATGCATGGCATAATGGTTAGGAATAATATGTAATAATGTTACCTACAATCTACCTACACCTTTCTTCTTAAAGTTCTAATAGTAAAATCACTCCCAGGTTCTCAACTTAGCAATGTGCTAAAACACCAAAAGATTTTGTCATTGATTTTTTTCCCCCGTCATATACACAAGTAATCTTTATTAAGAAGCAGAGTCCCAACATTGTACAGGTGCCCAAACTGGTGAGTCCACCTAGTTTACCGTGCAGCCACACTCCCAATCCTCAGATCCAGCCATAATCCTACATTCAGTGCCTAGGACTAATCTGCTGAGCCCCCAGCCCCAGCCCCATACTCTCCTCAACCTCCACGCTTGGGCCAGGGTACACATCCTATGTACTACCCCAGCATTTTCTGTGTCCCTAATACTTCAACCCACCACACCATATCCAGCTTCCACGTGCTATGCTCTGTCCCAGCCTACTGTGTCCACATCAAACACAGAACCAATGAATGAAGTCTACATGCCCAGTTTATCACAAAATAAAAATATGAAAAATCAAAACAGTATGTTTCCTCTAAATCCACCAGCCCTACAGAGGAGTTCTAAAAATAAAATTATTTAGATGAACTTTAGGACACCTAGTGCAAAAGAACTACCATAAACTTCAAAGAATTCAAGGAGTTTAAAGAAGAAACAGCTGAATGAACTTGAAGAATATAAATGCCTAAGTGACACCAAAAAAAAAAAAAACAAAAAAAAAAACCCTACACAGAAATGAAGCTGATGAAAATGATGAAGACATCCCAGGATTCAAACACTAAATTCAATAAAGAGGTGTATATTGACGAGAACTCAAGATGAAATGATGGTGAATTAAAAAAAAAAAAAAAACAACAAGAAAATTTAGGAGAAATCTTTATAAGTAGAATGAATCAAAAAGAAGACAGAATATGAGGACTCAAAGACAAAGTAGAAGTATGAGAAAGCAAAGAATATGAGAAATTAAAAAAACAATCCACAGGAAAGGAATATGCAGGAACATACACCACAGATGAGGAATAAAATCCCAATTCAATGGGATAGACCAGATCTTTAACAAGATAATAAAACAAAATGTCCCCAAACTAAGGAAAAACATACCCATACAGATACATAGTTAAAACACTAAGTATACAGAACAAAGAAATAATATTTAAAGCTACATGGAAAACAAACCACATTTGACATAAAGAAAACACATCAGAGTAACTGCTGATTTCTCAATGGAAACTGAACAGCAGAAGATCCTAGAGCAATGCACTAGAAGTTCTAAGAGATCATGGGTGACTACCTAGACGACAGAACCCAACAAAACTATCAGTCACAGTCAAAAAATGGTCCATAATATAAAAAGGCTAAAAGAACTCATGTTCACCAAACCAGCTCTAAAGAGAATACTGGAAACAATACTTCTATTTTTAAACAGAGAAACATGCATAATCAAGAGACCGTAGGAAAAAAAACAAAAACAGAAGAACTATAACTACTGAAATACAAAGTACAACTAGGAACAAGAAGAAGAAAAGAAGAAGGAGGAGGGAGAAGAGGAGAAGGAAAGGAGGAGAGGAGAAGAAGGAAAGGAAGGGAGGGAGGGAGGGAGGGAGGGAGGGAGGGAGGGAGGGAGGAAGGAAGGGAGGAAGGAAGGGAGGAAGGAAGGAAGGAAAGCTGTAAATTGCCTTTATTATGTTTAGGTATGTTCCTAGTATTCCTGATCTCTCCAACACCTTTATCATAAAGGGGTATTGGATTTTGTCAAAGGCTTTTTCAGCATCTAATAAGATGATCAACGTGGTTTTTTTCTTTCAGTTTGTTTATATGATGGATTACATTGACAGATTTTTATATGTTGAACCATTCCTGCATCTCTGGGATGAAGCCTACTTGACCATAATGGATGATTTTTTTGATGAGTTCTTGGATTCGGTTTACCAGTATTTTTGCATCAATGTTCATGAGAGAGATTGGTCTGTAATTTTCTTTCTTTGTTTCATCTTTGTGTGGTTTGGGTATTAGGGTAACTGCAGCCTCATAAAAAGAGTTTGGCAATGTTCCTTCTGTTTCTATTGTGTGGAACAATGTGAGTATTGGTATTAGCTCTTCTTTGAAATTCTAATAGCATTCTGCACTGAAACTATCTGGCCCTGGGCTTTTTTTTTTTTTTTTTTAGTTGGGAGACTTTTATCATAGAACCTTCATCCAGTAACTGATGGAAGCAGATGCAGAGATCCATAACCAAGCACCAGGCTGAGCTCCAGGAGTCTAGCTAAAGATAGGGAAGAGGGATTATATGAGCAAGGGAGGTCAAAATCATGATGGGGAAATCTACAGACACAACTGAACCAAGCTCATAGGAACTCAGGAACTTTAGACCAATAGCTGTGGAGTCTGCATGGGACCAGAATATGCCCTCTGCATAGAGGAGACAGTTGTGTAGCTTGGTCTGTTTGAGGGGGCCCTGGCAGTGTGATTAGGATCCATCCCTGGTGCATGAGCTGGCTTTCTGGGTTCCATTACCTATGATCAGAAGCCTTCCCCCTGCCCCATGCAGTGGGGAGGGGCTTGGACCTGCCTCAACTGAGTGTACCAGGCTTTGCTGACTCCCCATGGGGAGCCTTATCCTTTTGGAGGAGGGGATGGGGGATGGGCAGGGGGTGGGGGGAATCTGGAGGGGGAACTGGAGGAGGGATGAGAGGGGGATCTGTGGTGGTATGTAAAATGAATAAAAAAAATTTTTTTAATTAAAAAAAAAGAGTTAACAAATCTAGGAGGTGGATCTCTGAGGAGATAAACAAGATTAGCAGACCCCTGACTCAACTAGCCAAAAGAAAGAGGACCTGAATTAACAGAATCAGAAATGAACAGGGAAACATTATAACAGACACCAAAGAAATCAATATTATAAGTGAATGTTTTAAAAAAAAATACTCCATTACGTTGGAAAATCTAAAAGAAATGGACAAATTTCTAGATTTACTGAAATTACAAGGGGGAGGGAATTATGTAATTATATTTCAAATTTTTAAAATGGCAACAAAAAGAAAAGCCTCAGCAACATTTTCATTTCCTTTTTGAATTTCTGCCAGCCAGAGTGACTTGGTATACTAATTGAACACACAAAAATTACTTTCTGGGACTAATGTGATTACATCCAAAATCCTAAGAAGATATGCAAATTCCATTAGGGAGTCAAACTTTGGGGGGAGACAATAGTGCTATCAACTACTCAAGATTGCCATGCTTTCAGGAAAGCCAAGACAGCCCCACGAAAAGGCCATACAGAGGGAAAGATTCTGAGACAGCTCACAGCGTTCTGTCTATCCAAGATGGGTGCCAAACACAGAAGTGGGGAACTCATTTCAAATATCTAGTTCAATTAAACTTACAGAAATTAGTTAAATAGCTCATATCTAACTATCAAATCATAAATGTACCCTCCTAAGAACTGCCAAGACAAATCAAGTCTACTACCAGAACCACATAAAGTAAATCAATGGCTGTAGTAAGCCCCTGAGTTTTGAGGTAGCAATGAAGCAGCAAGTGGTTGGAGAACTTCTTGTTTATGATCTAAGTATGTTGACTGAAATACACGCATTTTCCAGAAAAGTTGGTCCAAGCTTTCAGAAAACAATTTTGTTTTGTTTTTTCGAGACTACTAAATCAAAAATAGAATTGTTGATTTGGAAGAAACTTTCATGTCTATAAAATTGAACTGTCCTGTACTAAATAAATCTGTGAAGATCAAAAGCAGATGAGTGTTTGCCCAGGCCTGAGAGGAAGAGAATCCAATGATGACTACATACCATTGACTTGTAAGCTAATTATGACATGTGAAGTTTATCTTAAAAATTAAGCTGTCTTCACCTCCACTCCAATCCAATTTCCCATGTAATCTGCACATAAGTAGATGCCTTGTCTTTGTTGAAAAATTTCCCACTATCTGGTAGATAGATAACTGAATGCATTGAGAATAATGGGAATGAGGTCCTTACTATTTGAGAAAGGTCTTATACAAACAGAAAAGAGAAAGTGTACTGTGCTGGAATTGGAGGCATAGATGTAAATCTGTGGTTTCTAGATATAAATATATATATAGCTGCTGTGCTGGATAGTTTTTGTCAACTTGACACAGGTTAGGGTCATCTGGGCAGAAGGAATCTGAATCAAGAAAATGCCTGCCTAGGATTGGCTTGTAGGCAAGTCTGCAGAGCATTTTCTTGACTAATATAGGAGGGCCTCTGCATCAGCTCCTGCCTCCAGATTTCTGTCCTGTTTGAGTTCCTGTCCTACCTTCCCTCTGGGATGAACTATGATGTAGAACTACAAGCTGAAATATACTTTTCCTCCCTAAGCTGCTACTGGTCATGGTGTTTTATCACAGCAGTAAGATAGATGGCAACTGTTAAATACAGTCAGTCTCAGAGTCTCAGTCTCTCTGCTTCCCACCAACCCTCCCACCGTGTGTGTGTATGTGTGTGTGTGTGTGTGTGTGTGTGTGTGTGTGTGTGTGTGTGTCTGTATGTCTGTCTGTGCATGTGTGTCTTCCTCCCACCCACCCTCCCACCGTGTGTCTGTGTGTCTGTCTGTCTGTGCATGCGTGCGTACGTGCGTATGTGTGTGTGTGTGTGTGTGTGTGTGTGTGTGTGTTTTCCTATCCTAGCCAAAAAAAAAAACTAGAGTCAAAGGTATGTCAGTAATAAGAACACTGATCTTAGATTCTAAATGCCATAGTCCACCAAAATAAATCAAGTGTTTTCAGAGAAATAATTAATTCCAAAGTTAAAAGTACACCTTATGGAACAACTTACATCCCCCAACTCCCTAAAAGGTAGTATTCCAAAAATGATAGATTCATAACAAAAGAAGGTACCAGCTAAAATAACAGCAAATGATGAAATCGATCACTATTTGAGTATAAGAATAAATGATAGTTAATTACTATAATACCACGGAGCAAAAACTAAGTATTTTTTAAATGATGACGCATTAAGTAAGTAACAATTCAGTCTGCTGTTTGTAAGGCATTTTCACTTCTCTAACAAAGTTTAAGTAAGGGGCTGAGAAGATGGCTCTGTGGATGAAGTACCAGCTGCATAAGTGTAAGGACATGAGTTTGGATTCTCATCACCCTCCTAAAAGCTATGCACTGGCCAAAGGCATTGTGGGGCATGGTGCATAGGTACATCCCCAGACCTTGCTGGTCAACCAGTCTAGCCCAAACAGCAAGCTTCCAATTTAATAAAAAGAGTCTGTCTCAAAAACAGGTAGAGAGAAAAAAGGAAGATACTCCAACATCAACTTGATCTGCACGTGTGCATTCACAGCTGCAGAGATCACATGTACAGAAGTGCGCACGCGCGCGCACACACACACGAGAATGGAGGGGGTGAGAGAAGGGGAGGAAACGAGGGAAGGAGAGGAGGGGAGGAGGGAAGGAGGACAGGTGGGGAGGAGGAGGTGGAGAGGACAAGAGGTTTTACCTAGGATGCATGATCCTACATTCAGTCCCCAGAACTCCCTTGGAAATAAAAATACAACAAAAACATTAATAATATAGAAAATGGGGCTGGAGAGATGCTCAGTGTTTAAAAGCATTGGCTGCTCTTCCTGAGATACTGATCACAGGTCGCTGTAACTGTGGTCTCAGGTAATTCTCATAGAATCTGATGCACTCTCCTGGTGTGCAGATGTATATGCACACAAAACACTCACATACATAAAACACATAAATAAATAAAAATTAAAAAAGAAAAACAGAAACAACAGTCTTCCAGTTCTGGTGATGTAGGCCTGCAATTTCACCTACTCCAGAGCCAGAGGCAGGCTGCAAGGTCAATAAGGTCAAGTCTGGCAAGTTGGCTGGTGACTACTACAGAGTTAGCTCAAGGCCTGCCTGGGCAACTTAGCAGGATCCTGTTTCAAAACAAAAGAGAAGAGGAATGTAAAAGATATAGCTCGATGGTAAAGTGCTTGCCCAGCATGCACAGGGCTTTGAGTTCATTCCTTAGTACCGTTAAAAAAGAAAGGGAGGGAGGGGATCAAACCAAAATCCAAGACATTGTTAGATTAAAATAAGTAAATAAAATGCATTTCATTATATCAAGAAAGTTTTAGCCAAAGCAGGCTACAGTGCATCCGGGGGTTTACACACTGGGTAACAGCACCGATAGGTCTGAAACAGGGGTTATACGGAATACAAGGAGAAGCCAACACACATCCAGCTGCAGTGAACACTCACTCCACCTCTACCAGTGATTAACAGTCTCTAGTCAGAAAGGATACAAACGGTCACAACAATATCAAGCTTACCATGTTCAAATCTACCATTCTGTTTCCTCTGCCTCCCCCCAAATATCTGCTCCTCCTTTTGTCTCCAATTTGGGTAAAAATAATGCTATTGTCTCAGATGTGTAGGCCAACAACCTTAAAAGTTATTTCTAGCACCTTTTATTTCTTATATCCAACCCAGTCGTCAGGAACTCCTCTTGACTCTGCCTTCCAAAATTTACTATCAGTAAAAGAAACAAACAACAACAACAAAAAAAAAACATAGCTTCTTAGACTAGCAGCAATACTAATTGGAATCAATACCAGAATTTTATATGTAAGTGAACTGAAGTTACAAACATTGAATTTCAAGATAAGAGCTAGTAAGGAGCAGAGGCAGATTTACCCCCAGGTCTAGACAGCGAGATCTCTATGTGCTCCTTCAGTAACTACTGGGTAACAGAAAAATTATTATAATTCAAACTATATTACAAGGAGCTGGAGCGATAACTCAGGCATTAAGACCACTTATTGATCCTACAGAGGACCAGGACTTGGTACCCAGCACCCATATCATGGGTCACAACCATCTATAACTCCACTTCCAGGGGATCCGATACCCTCTGCTGATCTCAAAAGACAGCAGTCACATACGTGGTGCACAGACAAACATGCAAGCAGAACACTCATAAACATAAAATAAATAAAGCTAAAACAATCTTCATACTTGAAAAAAGTCTATTTCTAAAAGAATCTATTACAGTACTATAGGGAAACCTATTAAATGACATCAAAATTATACTCAGGCAAATTCACTGCTTCTTGACCAAATAAAAAGTAAAAAAAAAAGAATACAGAAAGATGTAAATTTAAAAAGAAATATATAAAATAAGTCTAAACATAGGGGGAAAAAAGAATTAGTGAATTAGGAACAAAAAAGGTATAACTTCATATTCAAGCACAAAAAAAAAATGTGTAAAACTTTACTGAGACATGAAGTTTCAAAATTATTTAAAAAAAAGGAAAACACCCTAATGAATCCAATATATCGACCATCTACCTTCAGTAACCATCAACATGTACTTACTGTTTCTTTAAGTACTTCCTTACAGTTTAACGGATTTATTTGTTTATTTATTCTGTTGCAGAGGGTATTTACTCCCAGAGAACAATGATAGAAATAATTCTCTCTATCTACTGTGTGGTAGGTTCTAGGAAACAATGGTAGAAACAATTCTCTCTATCTACTGTGCGGTAGGTTCTAGGGAATGGAACTCAGGTTGTCAGGTTGTTAGCAAGTGCCTTTACCCATCTGGACCATTTCAACAATTTCCAACTTTACAGCAGTAATCTCAGGAGTAGATCCACACTTACTATTACTGAACATTTAAATAAACACAGAATACCTTACTTTATAGTCATAGTGCCATAGAAACCAAGACAGTAGAAAATAATAACTTACCCAAACTCTCCTGGTCCTTTTCATCACCCACGTCAGAATTATTGCTTCCAGACATTAAATGATCCTTGAACCTGGAAGGTCCACTTAAAAATAAAATAAACCATAAAATTTGTGCTTTTATAATATAAAACCCTGTGTATCTAAATTTCATGATGTCTTAAAACTGCCATCAGTTTCTTTCTTATGAAACTAAAAGTGATGTAATACATCAAGAATGTATTTCCATGCAGCATCAAGCAAGGACTATGATTTGATCCCATAATTGAGTCAAATCTGACAAATACAAATTTATATAAATGAAAGAGATTGAGCTTAGATAGCTCAGGCCCTGGGCCTCCTTATTGTAGCCTAAACTGGTCTAGAATTTGCAATCCTCCTGCCTCAGCCTCCTGAGCATTAGGATTCTAGGCATGCACTACCAAGCTCAGCTAGAACATTTTAAATTAATTCATGGATCAGTTATGAATTTAGTCAAGTCCAATAGCAAGCTTCTTTCACACAAATAACAGAAACCAGCAAGCATATCGTAATTTTAAAAGAAACCATCTACAAAAAATAAAATTAAACATATAGTCATATCATCATAGTTGACTCAAGCTATGGTAGTCCCAGGTTCCTTTCCTTCTCCAAGTCCTAATCACAATAAAGAACCCTCCTTCAAAAGCCGAGGTTTGCTTAATTTATTAATCTTGCATTTTTAAAGGTTTTAACAGTTCATAGCTAAAACAAGCAGGTTAATCTCACTTGTTCAGTGTTAGTGAATATTTTAACAATACATCCACAAATTCTGCTACAATCTTCTTCTCAAAAGATAAAGTCTTACTTCCCTTTTCCTGAGTGTGGTGTGGACTTGTGATGACTTGTTTCTGATGAACAGAAACCATAAAAGTGAGTGTAGACCTTGCACAGCCTTGATGCAGCTGGGGAGACTTGGACCTGCCTCTACTAAATGTACCAGGCTCTGCTGACTCCCCATGGGAGGTCTTACCTTGTTGGAAGAAATAGGGGGTGGGTTATGGGGGGAGAAGGCTGGAGCGGTGGGAGGAGGGAAGAGAGGAGGATCTGTGGTTGGTATGTAAAATAAATAAAAAATTCCTTAATTTGAAAAAATGAGAGACAGAACTCCAAGATTAAGTAATTAAGAGGTATTTGATTTCCCTTGTCTTCTCTCAGGTTATTTGCTTTGTAGGAAGTCAGCTGCCACATGACAAGAAGTGAAGGTTGACTACCAAAGACAGTAGAGAACTGCAACCTTCAGCCAACAGCCATGAGCCATGAATGGATCCTTCCAGGTGTAGTCAAGTCATTAAAGAGATACAGAGAGACACCTCCAAACCCAAACAGCTGGCTAAGCCTTGCCCAGATTTCTGACCCCACAGAAAGGATAAAGCAACACACATTTGCAAGCCAACAGCAAAAATAAAATTCTGTTTGGAGTAACATAGAAATGGATAAACAGTACAGTGAGTAACTTCTATTTTCACTACACTATATACACACCTTTCTTCCCAAATCGAATTTTTAGGCTCGCCTGAATCCCAGTTAGACTCTATTGGTGTCTTACTTGTATATTTCCCAGTATGAGACTTTAAATGAACATTTTGTGAAGTCATAATACTGTTTTGATACTTAGAGCCTCGTGTAGGTCTATGAGAAAAAAAAAAGGTTAAAATTATTTTTCAAAAGTTCTTTCTTCTAGAAACAATATACAAATGTTTATACATGCAATATATACTCAGCTATAACAAGTATCAGTTCATCATGTTCAGACCTTAAGGTTTACAACTAGGTCCACAAAGGTATCTGAAGTCTACCAAGACTCCGGTACAAACCTGGCCTGAGAATAAGAGTGATGCTGAGTGACATTAACAGTCTACCACATGCACTACACAACCAGATACTCATATTCCCAATGTGACAGCAAGGAAACAAGTTCAGAGTGGTAGTGTACCTAGGTGTCATCTAGCTGACTGCAGAGCCTGGATTTAATATCAGCTTTGACCAAGTGCTTATTCTTACTCTGAAGACTGCATAACAGACAACTACTAAATTCTCAACAGGGGAGGGAAAAACAACAGCTATATTGTAAATACAACAGAAATTACCCAGAAATATCCAGACTTTTCGTCTGAGTTGGGTCTGCCTCGTTGTTTTCCAATGGCTCACTCTGGGAACCAGAGATTTCATCATGACTAACACTTCCTCTAGAACCCTTAACGTTTGAAGACTTCTGTGCTCTCGAGCTGCCCTTTGTCTTCTGTCTTTTTGATGGAAAAGGTTTTTTGCCAGGATTCTCAGGTAATTGATTTTTCTTAGCCCGTTTTCTTCTATTGTGATACACCCCTGACGATTCATTTTCTCTTGAAGAACTTCTATTAACAGAACCTGAAAGATTCAATGACAATTTGAAATTAGCATGTTTGTTCAAGTGATCTGGCTCACTGAAATACCAACATCATTATATTTACATATAAATACACATAACAATTTCATAAGCTAAATCTGTTTTCACATAAAAAAATTCTTACATTTTTCAATTGTATTTACACGACATGCTAGATTTTTTAAATCTATCATAAACTTCCTTAATTTTTTTCTCTGGCTCTGCCCTGACCATCTGTAATGGTAAGTGTTGTCAACCTAAAAGAATCTAAATCTCCTAGGAGATGGGCTTCTACATATGCCTATAAGGAGGCCATGTGGATTGTATTAACTAAGGTGAAAAGACCCACCCACACCCAGGAGAGTGGCACCATTCCTTGGCTGCCATCTTGGATCCTGGATGATTCAGGTGGGGAAAGATGCTTCCTAGATGCGGATGCAATACAAGCACAGCTAGCCTCCTGATGCCACCGTATCTGACCCCTCTAGAACTGTGAGCCAAATAAATCCTTCCTCTCGTAAGCTGCTTTTGTCAGAGTATTATCACACTAACAGAAAAGTGGTTAAGATAGCATCCTTAAGATCTGAGTGTTTCCTGTAATTCCAAATTTCTCAGTTTATCATCTTTCTTTGTAGCAACCTAGCCAGCCATAGCATCTTGTACTAAAATCGTACTCAATTCGATCTAGGATTCCCTACCATCTCTTTCTTATTTTTATTCTTCTTCTGATTTTTAAACATCTATCATTACATGTATTATTTTATCTATACTATTTTCCCTCATAGAATGTAACCTTCTTAAGTACAAGGACTTCTAACTTTGGCTATGTTTATCCACAGACCATGCCTCCACACAGAATACTGTATAAATTTATACTTTATAACTGACAATATTTCTGTTGGTGAACCAATTTAACTTTGTCTTTATAAAATTTTTCTATATAATGGGAATAAGTCACACATAACCCTGTAGAGAATGATTGGAGGGGGCTTTTAACAAAGATGATTTAAATAAAAATACTTACCTTCCTCTGGTTTTACCAGCCACCACTCAGATGGATGGTGAGAAATTCTACAACTTCTCCTGACACTCACAGATACTTCGTCAGGCACACATTTGTCCTTAGACCCACCAGAAAAACATTTCTCTCTGGATTTTTCCTCATCTTTTTGGGTGCTATGCTTTTTTTTCTTGTTTTCTAATGTAAAGAAAAACCACAAAAACTATTCAAAATATCAGTTTTCAAAAGTTCACAACAGGTTTTAAATAAATAAAATTCAATTACAGAAACATGTTTATCTCATGAGCTACTTTCAAATTAGTTTCTTTAAAAAGCCATGTGTTTTCAATCTCTGGTTTTCTGTCAATTAAATATAAACGCTTCACATTGCCTGTCATAAACTAAAAGAGAAATATGTGTGTATGTGCATGCAGGTACATGCATATAGGTGCACATGTATGGAAACCAGAGGACAATCTTAAATGTCATCTCTTCTCTTTATTTATTTTTTTCTACTTTGTTTTATTGAGAGGGCTACTGCCTAGAACTCACCAGCTAGGCTATGCTGACTGGCTATCAAGCCCCAAGGATCTGCCTATCTTTGCCTCCCTAGTACCGGTATTACAAATGTGGGAAACCTCAACAGCTTTATTTTTCTAACTTGGGTTCTGGGGATCAAAATCAGGTCATTCTGCTTAAAAGACAAGCACTGAGCTATCTCCCTAGCTTGAGTATCTTTTGAAAAACAAAACATTGTTTCTTTGTACTCACCACTTCACAAAAATAAAACAGGTAATTACTGACTTTCATTTTAATTGTTTTGAAATCTAATTTTGGAAGAAATTAAGTATAACTAAATTATAAACCTTGAAATGAGATTACTTTGGATTAACCCTACTAGCTCAATCATGTATCCTTAAAATTTGTGATCAAACAGAACTTGGGATGATAGCAGGAAAAGTGAGAAATCAGCCACAGCAGAAACTGTTAAGCTTTGATGATGGAGAAGGACCATCTAGGATTATGGGTACCTAAACACAATGGAAAAAGTAAGGAGCAGACCCCTTACAGACACACCAGAAAGAGAGCTAAACAAAGATCTTTGTTTCCATCTTGTGAAACTTCTGACCTAAAAATTATATAAGATAGGAAAAAATTTTTAAGTGTTTTGTTTAAGCTAGTAAATTTGTAACAAAAATGGAAAATCAGAATCAGTATGGCAACACATCAGAACATTATATTCAGTCTTTACTCAAAAATATTTATGAAGATATAAAGATCTTTGGCAATATTGGGTAGGGACTTATTTTCTGTTCTACTTTCATCCTATATACATGTTTATCTGTCAATCTACATACCCACCACACACACACACACACACACACACACACACACACAGAAATGTTAGCAGGTGAAAACGCTCCATTAACTTGTTTATAGGCTTTCACTTCTCCATGGGTGTTTCCGCCTTAGGATCTATTTCAATAAATTAAAAACAAAAACAAAAAACTGACTGTGCACTGAACTAAACCTAGAGAGATTCTCAAAAAGAACCCCCAAAAGACTTGTGAATCTGCAGGCAGCTTTCCTTTGCCTAGCTCCCAAAGCTAAGGAGGAATATAACACCTATAAAATACTCCTACTCTGAATTAATATAAACACTTACCAACAGGCAGCATCTGTTTCTTGGGAACAGGCTCATTTCTCCCCTCTTCACAGCCTTCCATATTTCTCTTTGAATTTACATGTGACTTGTCCTGGCCAATGTTTGACATGTTCCTCTTCCCCTTTTTACCCTGTTGCACATTAAGCTGCTCTTCAACTACTGTAGGCTTCGATGCTCTTCTCTGCTGCTGTCTTACAGTCCTTTTGCTTCCAGATGGTTTTTTGGCATTCTCAGAACGCATTTTATTTTCTGTAGATCTACAGTCATTTTCCAGTTCATCTGTACAACGAGTCCCCAGGAGGTTTTCAACAGAAGGCTGAGATTTCTCTATTGGGGGAGCCTTATGAGACTGTGAACCACTTATCAAAGTCTCAGCTGACACACTGTCAGGTTTTTCTCTTGACTTCTTATCTTTAGCAGTTACAATGTTTCCAGGAGTTGGCGAGTGGTGTCTCAGATGTCTGCCTTTTCTTGGTATTGTCACCCAAGGTTGACTTGCAAAACTTCTATCTGACTCATCAATAATAAATTCATCTTCTAATAATTTCATGTCATTTGCAGGAGATGAAAGAGGTCGAACTGTTGTTGTATGTCTAACAATGGAACTGAAACAAAACATTATTTTAACAGTTAAAGTAACTGAAGTTTCATCTTTATTTACTGAATATTCTTTACAGGAAATAAAATCACAAGTCTCCTCAATTTTCTCTTAATCTTCTTCTCCATTTTATAATACTAAGATCATAGAAATTTAAAGTTGGGCATCCACTTTGATGCCCCTCAATCAATACACATGCTAAAACCTTGAAATTTACAACTGTATAATTATAACGCAACGTATTTACTAACAAAAAAAGAGTGCATGCCTTATCCATGTTTGATTAAACTATTTGTACAGATATCTGCATTTCTTTACATCTAAAACATTAACAATGTTAAATATAATAAGCCATCACATCCAATATTTTAAAAGAAAAGTAATATAAGTGATCTTGAATGCCTTCTTATCCTTTTTATATCTGACAGATGTAAGTAAAAGAAATGTAATCATCATTCATATAAATGAACTATAATACAGAATTTCAGCTTAAGTTCTAATACTTCATGCTTATTCTCACAGATATTTCTATACAATAATAGTGGTTCAGAATGAAGTTGACTAGGGTACCACTGGCACAAGAAATTTAGTGCTAAAAAAACAGGGAAAGATGACTCTTATTATAAAGCGGACAATGCCACACAATCTGTTGTCATGAGGACAAATCATTGTCTCCTGCTAGAGCCCTCTAGTCCCACATAGCTAACCCTGAATTTATTTTACTAAGGAAGCATTATCATACTTGCATATACTCAGTTATAAAAGAATTATAAATTTACTAAAATATTCATAAAAGAACACATTTGTACATCTTAGGCAATTCACACATTTAGTAATTGCCCTGGTTAGGTTTGTTTGTTTGACGGGTTTTGTTGTTGTTTGGCTTGGTTTTTATCAACTTGACACCAGCTACTGTTCTCTAATAGGGAAACACAATAGAAAAATGTCTCCATAAGATTGGCAAGCCTATGGAGCATTCCCTTATTAAGTGACTGATGTGAGAGGGCCCAGCCCCTTGTGAGCAGTACCACCCCTAGGCAGGTGGTTCTGGATGGTCTAAGAAGCAGGCTGAGCGAGCCACCAGGGAGCAAGCTAGTTAGCAACACTATTCCATGGCCAATCTTATTTACCCAGCTGTGACTCCTGAATTACAATAATGACTAGTCTCTTAACAGACTCACTGGTACAATCATGGCAGGAATACCAGAAGTAACCAACCACTTTCTGACTGGATTTAGCTCCCACTACACAAGATGAAAGCCATACCAGGCAGCACTATTGGGGTCAAGCACCTGTGGCTATACAGGTCATAGGCCCTAGGGGACAACCTGCTACTATTATTCTCTAAATGGACATAGTATTAAACTAAGTGCTATTGGCTTTTTGTTATGCCCATACATAAATGTATCTCTCAACCCTCACAGAGAAGCTACTATTTATAGTAGAAAAAAAGAGACCTACAGAAAATTAGAGACCGTGGATTGTCCTAAATGGGATATCTATATCACACTCCCTTCTCTCAAGGGATCAAATGATCAAGGATGATCTGTGGGAGAGAAGTGAGAAGAATATAAGCGCCAAAGGCAGCAGGTGACTACAAAGGAACAGTATCTTCCAGACATAACAGGGCAGCTGGACATATGAACTCACAGTGGTGGTGACAGTATACATAAGACCTGTGCAAACTCATGCCAGTGAAGGTGGGCACAAAGTCCCACCGCTAACCAAGGATACTGGCAACTGAGAGCTGTTGGCAGAGAGATACTTGGTTTTCTTCAAGAATGTAGCCCTAGTAAGTAAACCACGCTCCAGTGGGAAGGTCACACATCCCAGAATACATGCGCAGCATAAAATGGACTTTTAACATGTTAAAAAAGAAAAGGCCACAAAGCTGTGTGGGTAGGGAAGGAAGGAGCCCAGATCTGGGAAGAGTTTGGGGAGCTGTATAAATGGGGAGGAGTATGAATGATCAAAACACATTGTACAAAATTCTAATGAAAATTTTATAAGTCAATAAGAAAAGAAAATAAGATTTCTATATTAAATAACAAAGAACACCCAAATATGGTTCAGAGAATGAATCAGAAGAAATGTCCAAAAGGACAGTTTTGTAATAACTTTACCTAGATTCACTTTTCCTCTTGACAGTTTCTAAATACAATGCTGAAAAACTCTTCTTAGATCGTGGTTGGATTTCACAGCTCAAATCTTGTCCTCTTCTCTGAGATGTTTCTGATGCTATCCCTTCTTGTACTTCTGATGTGCTGTCTTCTTCTACTACATTGTTCTCTATTTCTGCTTTGTTCAAAATACTTTTATCTTCAAAGTTTAACCTGAAAGGTTGAAAAGGTAAGCAAATTCTCCATAAGGTAAATTACACTTATAACAAAGGTCTCCAAATAACAAAGTATCTTAAATAACCTATTGTTTGTATCCTAAAAGCAAAAAGAAAGCTCCAAGAAATGGAACTGGGTTTATAACTCATCCGTACTCTGTTGTTCTAGAAAGAACCTAATACTCAAACTTGCAATCACAAATAATATGCAGGAAATATAAATTGTTTCTTTCAAGAAGTTAAAGATAATGGGGTGGAATGAATGTAAGCAATGCACAATGGTATATAAAAACGTCAGTGAAAATTATTATTTTGTAAGATAACTAAAAAATGTTAAATAAACAAAAGACATTACAGAAAACTTACTATCACAAAGAAAACTTTGTCTTATTTATTGTGTATCTGCATGTATGTGTTAGGATGCACATGCCACACAAGCACATGGACGTTGAGGACAACTTTGTATGATGAATAAGGATGCACATGCCACAGCACACACATGGACGTTGAGGACAACTTTGTGGAATCAGATTTCTCTTTCCAGCTTTATTTGGTTTCCAGAGATTGAACTCTAGTTACCAGACTTGCACACCAGGTGGCTTAATTTGCTAAGCCATCTCACCAGCCCCACAAAGAAAACATTTTCCCACAGACTCTAGAAACGTTAACCTCCCAATCTCTCTGAAGTATACTTTAATGCCTTTCTTACGACTAATTAAAAACTAAAGCTAAGCAAAAAGCATTTGTTTTCTTCTCATGTTACCCCTCAACCCCTTTCTTCAAATCTACATAAGAGGCTAAGTTAGCATTTGCAATATAAGGATAAAAATTAAGAATTATTACTCAGACAAAAATTACCTCTTCCTGGTTTTAAGAGAAATGTCTGTATTTGAAGATTTTGTATCTCCTGAATTTCTTAAGACGGAAGCCACTCTTTTTTGGCCAAGAGATGAAATAACATTCTGCAATTTAGACGTTTTTGCACCCAAAGGAACCACAGGGGAGCCACCAGATAAGACAAAGTCATCATTGGTGGCACTGTGGTGACCATTTGTTTTTTTACTTGACATGTTGTTTGAGTCCGCTGTACTTTTAGCCGGAATTTTCTGATGAACTTCATTAGCCTGAACTAAAAGAAAGTCATGTGGTGACAGTTCTCAGTAGTTAAAAACAGTATTTAAATCAAATGTACTTTAAAAAATTAACCATAGTTAGAATAAGAAGCTTTCAGAAGACACATATTTCATTAAGTTTAGAATCAAAGGCCTATAATTAAAATACCTAAGTATTTTAAAGAGTTCTGATACCAAATTAATGAACTGAAGCATATACATGTCTACATCATCTGAGGTTATAAAAACACAGAAATCCTCAAACACAGAAACTCCAAAATGTATGCCCAAAGTCTTGAAATGTACAGTTTGTACACAGCTAAAATACGCAGAACAGAGAAATTATGAAATTCTGCTGTGGACAGGCTAAGAGCAAGTAAGCTCTTATGTATACATAAGAATCATACATACTCCAAACCTGGAATGTAACACTATATTGACATAGTAAAAAACAAATGAGGTCCAAGTTCAAAAGTGTGTTAAATTAAATTGAAATTCAATACAAAAAAGTAATAAATTCAGAAGAGCACAGATTAATGAATGAATGTATCTGACAAAACAAACATGAAATATATCACTTTATATATGTAGGTATGTGGCTAGATGAACATACCTATAAATATAACAGGCATACACATAACGTGTGCATACATGTATCTATATACACATACAGAGAATATACATACATACTTACATAAAATCACCATCAGTCTTCAATGTCAAAGAAAAATGACTAGACAGTATTCATACTAATGTATTGCTCTTAAATGCACAGATTTAAAAATTAAATACAACAAAAAAGGGCTTGTGGTTCAGTGGTAAGATGTCATTTCTCTACTTCTACCTCTTAATGAAACTAAATTCCTTAGAAATCACCCATCAACAACAACAAAAAAAAAAACGGGGCTCTGAACCCTGAGAGGAACTAGGGTATCAACATAGAAAACAGAAGACTAAGGAACAATTCACAATGTGGTCTTTGGGTTTCCTGGTCACTTCCCATTTGTCCCTGGACTAGGCATCTGAGATGTCTGCAACCCAGAACCGACACTAAGCAAAGGGAAAGGAAAGAACCCACATACTCTCAATAAGGTAAGAGCATACCGACTAGAGGGAAACTCCAACCCTAGGTCTAGAACATGGGCCATGGGGGCTCTCTTCTGCCTGTAGTGGCAGAGAAGCAAAGCGCCAGGTTGTACTATGGGACAGGGGTAAGTATTATGGAGGAAAAGTCCTTGTCAGATAATTTGTATGTGCACTTTCTACTACACCTTAGTTATCCATTTACACAGTTTATAGTGCCCTTCAAGCTTTAGCATTTTGAAGGGCATATATATGTTGTTGAAGAAGACAAATAAAAATTGTCAAAAATTACAACATCAAGCCCATTCTAGTTAGAGTTTTAACAAAGTTATCAGGAACCAAATAAAACTGAAAGTTCAGAGAAACATTTTGTGAATGGTAGGTGAATAAATGAAAATAGTTAGTTTTGAATCATACATACTCCAAACCTGGAATGTAACACTATATTGACATAGTAAAAAACAAATGAGGTCCAAGTTCAAAAGTGTGTTAAATTAGATTGAAATTCAATACAAAAAAAGTAATAAATTCAGAAGAGCATAGATTAATGAATGAATGTATCTGACAAAACAAACATGAAATATATCACTTTATATAAAATCCATCTCAGATGGACTGATGCCCCACAAAAGATAACAAAATTAATATCTTATTATAGATATGTACTACTAGGGGGAAAAGGACTGTTGTTTAATCAAAATAGGAAACTAGGCAACTTACAGCTAAAAGTCACACATTCTACAATTAAAATAAAGAGTGTTAAGTTACATAGTTAAAAATGTAATTTCAGCTGTCATTGTGGTATAATACTCTGGAAGAAGAAGGCAGACTGATCTCTGAGTTAGAAGCCAGCCTGATAGCCACAGTGAGTTCCAGAGCTACATAGTAAGATCCTGTCTCAAAAAATAAAAATAATTATTATTATTATTTCAGGTCTGGCCTGATGTTTCAGTGAGGAGAGCTGCTTACCAAGCAAGCCTGACAACTGAGTTCAAGTACGGGAACCTGTGTGAACGTGGAAGGAGAGAACCAGCTCCAAAGTAATCCTCTGCCCTCCACACACATGCCATGGCATGCCAATCACAGTGCACACATGCCATGGCATGCCAATCACAGTGCACACATGCACATGCAAATAATAACAATTTTTAAATGTATATATTTATATTTTTAAGCCCATAATCTAGGGATCAGTTAGAAGCATACATGCCACACAGGGCAATCATGTCACACACAAGCTTATTTCTTTTAAATTTATGAGCACCAATGGAGCTGTGGAAAAGTTCAAGAGTTCCCGAAACAAAATGATGGAAACAATGATTAGATTTTTCTTTTCAATCTTTGAGTCTATGAGCTCAAACAGAATAGCAGTCTTCTAATTTGGAACAAAGATAAAGAAAAAGTAAAATTAAAAAATAAAAAAAAATAAAAAAAAAAAAAAACCAGCAGCATCTATCACAGAATAAAGCAAAAGGAAAAGGGGGAAGAAAATCAACCAGACCACAATCAACTGGACCTTGTCTGACCCTGACTGATCCTGTCACCTGACCACAATCAACCGGACCTTGTCCGACCCTGATCTTTTCACCTGACACAAGGTGTCACCACCTTTGTCATGGCAGCTTTTTAACTGTCATGAGTATACTACCAACCTGATCCATGAGCAGCTTCACTCAGTTCTGCAGCAACTTGCAGAAAAGCTTCTTTGCTCCTTGAAGAACCCGGAACTGATTTTGAACGTGATGCCTGGCACTGAGCACAAAGAAATACATTGATGTACTTTTATTATATTGTCAATTCTGATTAGATGCATGCTTTTAAAATGGGGGGAGTCAGCTAAACAACAAAGCAGCTGGTCCTGTATACTGAAGTATGGTGATATTTTATTTGTACTGAAATGTGATTTTATTTGTATGTTAATAAATAAAATTGCCTGGGGGTCAGAGCTAACAGCAAGCCATTGCAAAAGCCATGGCAAAAGCCAGGCGGTGGTGGCACACGCCTTTAATCCCAGCACTCAGGAGGCAGAGACAGGCGGATCTCTATGAGTTCGAGGCCAGCCTGGGCTACAGAGTGAGTTTCAGGAAAGGCGCAAAGCTACACAGAGAAACCCTGTCTCTCAAAAAAAAAAAAAAAAAAAAAAAGAAAATTCAATTCAAATTCAAACCCTAGAGGATAGCTGCAGCAGTAAAGGGTCAGGCTGTTAGCTCTGACCTCTTGGGCTTTCATCTCTGCATTGCCTCTGTGTTTCTTATTTAATAAGATGGTTGGTTATATTTACACTGAAGAACTACTGAACAGAGAGGGCATAAGCAAACTATGGAACATTATATATCTCTAACAGTTCAAACACCAGAGTTAACACAAACTGCTGTGGGATGGTCTGTATGTCAAATGTGTTGCTGATTGGTCAATAAATAAATCACTGATTGGCCCGTGGCCAGGCAGGAAGTATAGGCAGGACAAGGAGGAGAATAGAGCTGGGAAGTGGAAGGCTGAGTCAGAGAGACACTGCCAGCCACCAGGATGACAAACAGCATGTGAAGATGCCGGCAAGCCATGAGCCATGTGGCAAGGTATAGATTAATGGAAACGGATTAATTTAAGCTGTAAGAACAGTTAGCAAGAAGCCTGCCACGGCCATACAGTTTGTAACCAATATAAGACTCTGTGTTTACTTGGTCGGGTTTGAGTGGCTGTGGGACTGGCGGGTGTCAGAGATTTGTCCTGACTGTGGGCCAGTCAGGAAAACTCAAGCTACAACAAACCACAAACAATTATATTAACAAAAAAAAAGCAAGTTCATGAAATACATAGTGATGTCTTTAAGATTAAATTGCAAAATAGATAAAAGGAAGTATGAAACAAGACAATATTCAGAGATTCACTCTATGTAATAAAGTGTTAACACAGCATACTTAATCATTTAAATCTTAATTAATTTTAATGGGCTAGCCATTGCCATGGGATAATGCTCTTGTATACTGGTTTAATAAAACACTGATTGGCCAGTAGCCAGGCAGGAAGTATAGGTGGGATAAACAGACAAGGAGAATTCTGGAAAGAGGAAGGCTGAATCAGGAGTCACCAGCCAGACACAGATGAAACAAAATGTGAAGGCAGAACTGAGAAAAGGTACCAAGCCATGTGGCTAAACATAAATAAGAATTATGGGTTAATTTATGTGTAAGAGCTAGTCAGTAATAAGCCTGAGCTAATGGTCATACAGTTATAAAGAATATAACTTCAGAAAACAGAAAAACTTCAGCTACAAGCCATTGCCAGGAATCTACAGATTGGGTTTTATAATGCTGCTTCTTTAACAAGTGGCAAGGTTGAACCTGTTATGGCAACCTGCCTTAACTATTTTACAAAATATGATTATGATGAACACTTGTTTTGTTTCCTTCTGGGATTATATTTGATAGACAGGGAATGTCCAGGGGTCCAGAACCCAATAAAAATGGACTTGGTGTCAAAAAGCTTTCCCAGGGAGAAATAACATATGCATGATTGCCTTTCACTGATAGTATACTAAGTGATGGGTATCCGAGTGTGTATGTGTTATTACTCTTCAGATCTAATATTCATGATTCCTAGGGTAACACAGGAGCCTGCACATGGATGTCTAGACTTGATGTCTTCTCCCCTTATCAACCGGGCTACCTGTCCTACCTGTATGGCAGTAATAAAACTCAATTTTCAGTTCAAACGAACAAATTACATTTTTTTTTAGGTTTATTTTATTGGGCTGGAGAGATGGCTCAGCAGTTAAGAGCACATACTGCTTTCCAAAGACCCAACTTTGAGTCTCAGCATCTACATCAAGTGACTCACAACCACCTGTAACTCTAGCTCCAGGAGGAACCAACACCTCTGGCCTCTTCAGGTACCTGTACTCACATACATACATACACATAATTAAAAGTGACAAAAAAAATTTTTAAGATTTTATCTTATTTACATGTATGTCAGTGTGACTGGGTATGCTACATGCATGCTGATAGTATGGAAGTCAAAGAGACTCCCTGGAGCTTGAGTTAGGCAGCTGTGAGCCAAAAACATGAGTGCTGGGATTGAATTTAGATCCTCTGGCGAGAGTAAAAGTGATCTTAAGCCACTGAGCCATTTGTCAAATCCCCCAAATTACATTTCTTACGTGAAGGTCACACTAACTTTGCAGCTTATAAAGTCCCAATCTGGATAAAAAGCTTAACACATACAAAATCTCTACTGTTTTGAAATACCTTTTACAGGAGAAAAACTACACATACATATATATGAATAAAAAATAACACAGAAACAACTATATAAGGAGAAAAATAATGAGACTAATAACAAGTGTAAAAAAGAATCAACAAAACTAAACTTCCTTTTGCCAAAAGACCAAAACTAGTAGCCCTGACACACTAATGAAGGAAAATGCTAAAGAAAAGTACCAATGTCAAGAATGTAAAAGAGGACATCATTATGGATCCTAAAAACATCAAAAAAAGTTTTAGAAAGTTATTACCAAATCTATGTTAATAATTTGAAAATGACAAAAAAAAGGAAACCTTTTTATTTTTATTTTAAGGTAGTCTACCATGACTACCTAAAATAGAATCTCAGCCCTTCATATTGTATACCTTGATCTAGATCATGATTATAAAAATTCATCAAATATGCATTTAAATCAGGCAAGCTAGTGTACAACTATAATCACAATACTTAGGAGATAGTGAAGGATCAGGAGTTCAAGACCATCCTTGGATACACAGCAAGTTCAAAGTCAGACTAAGTTACATGAGACCTTGTCTCAGAAATTTTTTTAAAGCCAGCACAATGGTATACATCTGTGATCCCGGTACTCAGGAAACTGTGCAAGAAGCTCATGAGTTCAATCTCAAGTGAGACAGGGTAAGTTAATAATTAAATAAATACATATATACATATATACCAAGGCCAGGAAAAAAAAAAAAAAAAAAACATCTGAGCCAAACAGAAGCTAGATTAATGCCTGTACCTACCAGCTAGAAAGGAAAACCTTCCTAAATAAAAAGACACATAAGAACCTTTTTCTCCCTCAGAAATGAAGAAAATTGGCTAGATTATATACTGCTAAGCCTGTCTACCTTATCTCTGAGCTTTAAAACTATAATTTGTTTACATTTTATACTTAATTAGCTATCACAATAGGGTGTTCCTGGACTGCTATAACATACTTTATTCTACCTAGAAAAGGAACCTCAAAAGTTAAGACCTATAAAAACATTTTAAGGGGAAAGATAGGAGAATATTCATGAATATGGATGCAAACATTTCAAATATTAAACTAAATTTAAGCAAAAAAAGACAATTTGTCATACACATGTATAAAACTGTCAAAGTACAGACTTACCTCTTAAGAATTTAATGATCAAGTCAAGTTGCCAAGAAATTTAAAGTTGATTTTAACTTTCAAAGATCAATGTAATTTCTCATATTATAAAAGGTCTCTCAAATTCTGGAAGATATGTTGTGTACTTTCCTTAAACCAAAGGCAATCTATACAGGTACAGCAATCAGGATCATGAACTCAAGGCCAGTCTAGGTAGTATAGCTAAGTTCCAGGTCAGCTTGTGGTACACTGTTTATCAGTTTTTACTTCTATGATCTTTCTAATTAGTACTATGCTTCCAAATAATATCTCTTAGGTTACTAGCTTCAAAAACTTTACCACTAGGAGTGTGGCTAAGTGATCCAGCCTTGTGTTTGGCATGTGCAAGGCCCTGGGTTCAAACATGGCACTTAAAAAAAAAATTCTAACTAAAACTGCACTACTTTTGGATAATAAATCAACCTACCCTTTTAAGGCACATAATCAACCAAAAGCAGTTTTTGTGGACAGTAACCAGTCCCATCAGTCTTCAGAAAACAACCACACTTGTCAGTCTAATCAGGAACTTTAAAGCTACCCATTTCCCTAAAACTCTTAAGTATTAGTTTAGAACAAAAAGGATTGCTATAATTTTGTAATTTTTTTCCCAATTTCAAACACTAGAAATATCAAACCAAAATTTTATAATATCTCCAAATTTTATGAAATGCAATGGAAGCATAGGATTCTCTTTAAAGAATAAGATAACTAAAATGTACATAAGAACACTGTTTAAATATCATTCATTAAAGTACCAAACCCACATCAGTTCTATTAGACTTACCTCTTTGCCTGCTGATTGATTATGATTATCTTTCACTTTAGGTGTGGAACAACGCAAGGACTCTGTAGAATCTGTAATAAAATCCATTGACAAGACTTAAAAAAAAAAAGCTGGGAAAGGTGGAATACAACTTTTAAATCTCGGCACTCAGGCAGAAGAGGCAGGCAGATCTCTGAGAATTCAAGACTAGCCTGATCTATATATTGAAACCCTGTCTCGAAAGAAAAATTCTAATTGAACAATTAAAGGGACTCTATATCAATGGCTCTCAACCTGTGGGTCATGACCCCTTGTGGGTCAAATGACCCTTTCATAGAGGTTGCCTAAGACCATTGGAAAACACAGATATTTACATTGTGATTCATAACAGTAGCAAAATTAGTTATGAAGTAGTAATGAAAATAATTTTATGACTGGGGGATCACAACGTGAGGAACTGCATTAAAGTGTCACAGTCTTAGGAAGATTGAGAACCACTACTCTATATGACCTGTGAAGAACTGTCAGTTGACTCTTCAAAATACAATTAGCCAAAAGAAACAGAGATGTCAATGTAATATTCAAATGTTCCTACAGAGCATCAGAAACATAAAAACAAAATTCCTAAAAAAAAAAAAAAAAAAAAAAAAAAAATTCAGTTCTTTCCGTCTGTAATGAAGATACTTTTTCCGCTGTCTTACTTTTGTGTAACAGAATACCTGAGACTGAATTAGGGATGTAGCTCGGTGATAGAATGCTTGCCTAACAACCACAACGCCCTGGGCTTCATACCCAGATCTGCAAAATAAATATAGGAAACTGAATGATTTAAAAAGCTCAGAGATTTCAGAGATTTTGTATCTAGCAAGAGTTTTTATTTTATCCCAAGCAAGTAAGATACAGAACCAACAAAGCTCCCAAGGCCTTGATGGTTGGCTCAAATTCATTCATGAGGGCAGAAACCTTATGATCTAACACAACTCAAGTCTCATCTCTCAACAGTTGCACTGGAAGTCAATGTTCCAGCCCAGGCTTGGGGAGCTGACATTCAAGAGCAGCATCTACCATTCATCTCTCCACTCGCCTACTCATGCTCAGCCTCAGAACGCTTTTTGCGTTAATTCATCACTTTGAAATAAACAAATGTAAATTGCCAAAAATTAATTCAAATTCAAATGATCCCTTATGCTTTCTCCCTTACAGAAATGCTTGGATCTGTAAGTACCTAATCTCATGTTTTATGCAGATTTTGGAATATTTACATATGCATCTTAAGATTTTTCTTGAGTCTAAACACAAAATTTACTTACATTTCATGTGCACTTTATATACAAAGACTGAGTGTAATTTTGCGCATAAAATAAAATTTCATAGAATATTCCACTTGTGGCATGATATTCATATTCAAACTTCTGGATTTCCAAGCATATATGATTTTAGATTTTCACATTTAAAGAAATATTTTCTTTTGTGGAAGGTAGTGATCTATGGAGTTCCAGTTTATAGGGATCTACTGTGAGTTAATGATGGCACATTACTGTGGCTGTATCAGTAGTATTCTATATTCTTCTCAATATACCAAAAGATACAAGAAGGATTAATTATGTATATTCAAAGTTATGAAGAAACTGCCCTACATATTTAAATGCTAGAACATATCTGCTACATTTGACATTAATGATAAATTTCATTTTCACCTATACCAACTCTGAAAGTCCGTCTAGAAATGAAGCCTTACTTTGTTCTTCAAAACAGTCTTGTAAGATATCCAGCACATTCTGGCCTTGCTTTGCTTGAATGATGGGCACTCTAATAAAAAAGAAAAAGTAAATATATAATTTCTGCAAGATATGTGTTACTTTGTTACTTGTTGTCTACTTGAAAAGCCCATATAAAATGTTAACTGTAAAGAGGAAAAAATATCTCTATTATTTGAAAACTTGGTAGTCTGAGTCCAACAAACATTCTATTTGTATATAATATTAAGAGAAGTTATCTTATTATCTACATATATCTACTCAAAGTTGAATATCTGTATCTAAAATTGGTTCAGATAACTGCTATATTTCAATAGCAATTCCAATTTTTGAAGAACTAAACTAGTTCTGAAATGTTTTGCTTTTGTTTTGGGAACTAAACCCAGGGCTTTTGGCATTCCAGGTCAACTTGTCTACCATTGAATTTTATTTCAAGCACTAAATGCTTCTTTAATGAAGACTTTATAGACACCAGTCTCAACATCTCCAAGTAACACTGTCTTCTCTGCAAGCTTTCAAGTGCGCTTTGGATTCAATAGCATTAATTTTTAATTAATCAGCAATTATGGATGGTTAGAAATAGTTTAAATTGAATATTATATTGATTTTACATTACCATATAGTTATAATATATTCATTCAGTTTTTTCTGGTTCAATATGTACTCACTCATGTTTTTATGTTTTGAAATGACTAATGTAATACAGTTTTGTCTCAACTTTATTTTGTCTGCCTAGACTCTTCTCAGCCTTCCAAACCTCCAATAGCCACATCTATCTTGGCATCACTTTGGGAACTGTCATGACCCCGATTGTGATCCAGATATATTAACTGAAATAACTGATCTTTGTGGAAGTTTAAAAATAAAACTAAAGTAACTAAGAGAAATATAAATCAAAAATAATTATCATGTAGTGTCTGGAAAAATCCCTCACTACTGTGAATGACCCCCTCCCCTCCACCAACCGCCAGCACTGATGTAACTGTGGTTTTGTCTTTAAAAACACTGTACCCCTGAGCTTGGTCACTAAGAGCCTTTTCAGAGGCACGAGTCTGTTCTTTGTCTGGCCATTAAAAGGACTCAAAACTTTTAACCGGTTTAATTTGTGTGGTTATCAGTAACTATCTCACATAGATCATTTCAGTTTCTATGGGGTGTGTGTGTGTGTGTGTGTGTGTGTGTGTGTGTGTGTGTGTGTGTATTATTCTACCCAATGTATTACCTCTGTAGGTTCAATATCACAACCAGAAACAAGATACTGGTTTGGTCACCATAAGGATCCCTGTATCGCCTTTCAGTAATAGATCTATTTCCCTCTAAGTCCCTTCTGTCCTCACCTCATCCTATCATTCCTAACCCCTGTCCACTAACTACCTGTCCATTTCTAAATTTCTGTCATTTAAAAAATAATCATCCATAAAAATGAGATTGTATAGTATGCAATATTTTGCAATGACTTTTTTTACTCACTATAATTCTTTAGGGAGTAATGCAAGTTATTGCAAGAATGAACTATTCATTCCAATTATTTATTGCTGAATAATGTTCTATGCCATGAATATATCAGAGTTTAAGCATTTACCTAATAAATGACATCTGGATTTTGGTCAGCATAATTTAGATATGTAGGTCTAAAGAGGGTTAATAAACTTTTGCTTAAAATTACACTAAACCTTTAATGTTTCATTAAATTCACACAAATTCCATATAATTTTTTACATGGCTGGGTACACTTCAAATTAATAGCTAAATTATATATAAACCTTTTAGGACATAAACTGTTACTTTATTATCCTATATAAGTAATACTTTTGTCTATTATGTAATTTTACTGATAGTACAGAAAAAAAATCTTTCAAACAAAATGCAAGCTCTTTATGGTCCAAAAACTTATTGAAATAAGTATACTTCACTACTTATTGAAATAAGTATATTTCACTAATATTACCATTGAGTGCTAATAATTCATTGTTCAATTCTTCTTGTCCACGATTCTATATAAGCATTTTTTCTTACTTCCACTAAGTCATTAGATGATTTGTGTTAATATTTCTCTTTTATATAAAATAATTAAAAGACCAATCAGTGTGCATAGAAATCAGTCAGCCAAAGGTAATAGATTTTTCTATCTTAAATTAAAAAACCCACTTTCTGAAGATGAAAATAAGTCGCCTTAAAAGCTTAAGTATAAGCATGTCACCTGGAAGGCCGGCAAAATCTTCTGTGGTAATTTTTTAGATGATCCTGAAAGAAAAGTTAACTATTAATTTTTAAAAACTATAATCAAATACAACTCATCTTCAAAATAATTCTAGTACAATACAGGATTAACAAAAGAACATATTTTCCCATTTACTCATTTAACAAGTATCTATTAATTATCCGATATAGTACTATAACTAGGGACAGGCAAGATGGTTAATTAGGAGCTTTCCACTCACAATACAAGCTAGATGACATGTTTGATCCCAAGAATCCAAGTTAAGTTAGAAAAAAAGAACTGACTCCATGAAATTGTCCCCAGATATCCACATGTCACATGAGTATACACACACACTAAATGAAATAGCAAGAAATAAATTAACAATGAAAATGGAATAGAAAGCCATATGCAAATAAACCAACAATTTTCTGAAAGATGAAAACTAGATGAAGCATGATAAATAATGAAATATGACAAAAACTGTAGCAACCTAAAGTAAGATCAAATATTATATATTAATATTCTTCATTGGATATATATGATATCCTTATTATATATATGATATATAATATATAATATCCTCCATTGGATATATTAATATATTAATTCCTTCAAGGAGACTAATCTGCCCGAGAGAAAGCCACAGAGACGCAGAAAAGGAACTTGAGATAAAACAGAAGGAATAAGACAAGCAAACAGCAATAGAGCAGTTCCCAGGTACAGCGGGTGCTCAACTGTAGTCCCAGAACTTGAGGAGGCTAAAACTGAAGGATTTCAACTTTGATATCAACCTGGGCTGTGCTAAATAGTGAGACTCTGTCTTACTAAAGGTGGGTAGGAGAGATTAAAAGAAAGCATTGTATAAACTGACAGCATGACATGAAATGGTTAAGAGGAAATTTTCTATTATAGGTATGAGTTAGAACAGCCAGAAGCCTCTGGAAGAGCACAGAACAGAGAAAGAAGTAGACTATACATGGTCAACAGACTGGACCTGTCCAAGGCTATAGGGAAGACAGTGAGACCAGCAAGGGATAGATAATAAAGAAAACATAGTGAGAGAAGCAGGAGCAGAAGAGAGATAAAGAAAAACAAGTATAGCAGGGTTGAAAGGAGAATGAGTATCTGTGGGGAGGGAAGCTTATGAGATGGAGGGAGTTTAGGATAGAAAAGGAGGTGAGAAGGGCTAGGATGCTAGCATGGACTTGGAAATGTGTAACTGGTGCTTGTGTTCCTGAGGGGGCCTAGAGGCCAGCAGGAGCTTTGATATGCTGATAGGTAATACCATGGTAGCCATTTGTCCTTCTGCAATAAGAAAAACATATTCCTTTTGGTAGAGGGGAACCAGCTTCCCAAGTTCCTGAGGTATGCTGGCTTTTCTCTAATTGCCAGAAATCCTCCTATAGTTCAGGTTGAGCTCATTTCTGGAAATGTGGACTGCTTTTGGAGTTTGAGGAATTGGGAGTTTCCTTTGGATCTAACAAGCATAATTATGGAACAGACAACTTAAAGTTGCATATCTCACAACAAGTATTCTGTTGTCCAAGTCTCAAATATGACCAACACCTGCAGATTACTGGACATTTAAGTCTCTAAAACAGAAAAGGAAAATCAAGACATGAATTTTTAAAATGTAAAATGTCCCAGGAGAAAATTAATGCCAAAGACAAAAATGGAGAAAACCTAAAAATAAGAAAACTAATACTTTTAAAAGATATCTGAAATACAGAATTCTTAAAACTAAAATGGAGCTTGCTGTGGTGGCCTGTGCAAGAGGATTGTAAGTTTGAGGTCGCCGGGGCCACATAGCAAAATCCTCTCTAAAATAAATAACAAAAAATAAAAACCTAAGATTGCATATTATCAACAATAAGCAAAGAGCAAGAATTCTTAACAATGAAAAGCAGAATTACCTAAAACTATGATAATTTTAAAATTGAAACTAATTTTTAAAATGTACCCCACCATAGAAAGGAAGGAATTGGGAACAAAGGAAAGACAAAGTACAGTAAAATGGTGCTGTGCCCTTTGAACCTTATCTGTTAATTGTAGAACTACAAAGGAAAACCTTCTAGTTGGATTCTGTAGTAAGATGATGACCAGCACTCTCTTAAAAATGAGAGCACTATCAACACCAGTTGTTTACTTAACCCCACTTTTATTACACCCAATGGTATATAAAAATAACAAAATATTCTACTTGTTCTAGGCTAACTTTTATGCTGGCTGCACCAGCTCTGAAAGCCACAATTTTTAAAGAGATCTTCAGTTCCCTTTAGTTTTAGTTTAGAAAGCAGGAATGAATTGAATGTCACGGATACTCATTGTTTTGGGGAAGCTGCTATCTGTTCTCCAGCCTGTAAGACAACAGAGAGAATATGTGTGCACCTCTACTTCTCTGTATCTGAGTTCAGTTCCCTACAATTACAATCTAAAATCACAGGACCCATTCTACGTTATTCTTTCTTCTCCCAAGTATGGAAGGATATATGTGATCTTCCTCAAGCTGATTAATGTGGCTTGTATTAATCCATTACTATACTGACTTCACTCTGTCTGATCAAACTTCCCAGATGCCTATCTGCTAAGGAAGCTCTCCCATATGGGTCCCAGCCACACCTTCCACATGTTATCTCCCTCTGCTCAGGCTTTCTCATGGAGTTCTAAGCCACTGTCTGTGAAGATGCCCCATGACACCACCAGGATTCCAACTCACTATGCAAACAGTCCAGTACGGATGTCCTCCTCATACCACACCGGATTACTTCTCACTGAAACACTCGCTGCTCCCTAGCTGGGATTCACCCCTCACCAAAAATCCTAAGTGAATCACTCCTATGTCCATATTTGATCTCATTGACTACAGAAGCTGTCCCCATGTCCATAAGCACACAGGTACTACCTTCTCGACACCTAATGCCCTGGCACTGTAAACTGGGCTATCCTGTCAACCCGATTCATGCTTGCTCCTACACACCAGCTCTTGATTCACTACAGTTTCCTATTCATAGGGATAGCCACATCATTTAGTTCCACCTAATATTGTTCAGACTGTGTTGCTTAGGAAGGGAAGAAAAGGCAAAAACAAAACAGATATAAAGAAACATGGAAGGGCCATGGAGATGGGCCAATGAGTAAAAACACTGTTGTGAAGCCTGTCAACCTGAGTTGGATTCCTAGAATCCATGTAAAGGTGGAGAATCTTCTAACCAACAAACACAGATCCACGCCCCCACTCCCTCCCACACACACAATAAAATATTTTCAAAAAACATAAACTTGGGGTAAAGATTTTGTCTTGAGATAATTTATCTTCTTTCCAGAACTTTTCTACTAAACTATATGCCATATTAACATACAAAAAAAAAAAATCTGTGCCAGGAGTGCAGTTGATAGAATGCTTTCTTAGCATTCAGGAATCTCTGAGTCAAATCCCCAGGACCTATAAACATGAGGAGGTGGTAAATCTGTAATCCCAGCATTTATGAAGAGTGGAAGGAGAGTTCGAGGTCAATCCAGGAAACATGAGACCCTGTCTCAAAAAATCAAAAATGCTTGCCAAAAGTTGGGCATGATGGTATTGTAGACCTATAATCCAAATTACTCAGGAGATGGATACAGGAGTTCAAAGTCATCTTTGCCTATATAGTGAGTTCCTGTTCAAGGCCATCCTTGGTTACATGAGACATTGTCCCAAAACCAAACAACAACAACAAAAAAGATATGCCAAATAAATAAAAACAAAAAAGTAAATAAAAATATTTTTTAAAAAAGGCGAGAACCCATAATCTTAAAAGCAAAAAGATGGAATCCATTTTATAGGCAGCAAACTAAAGAAAAAAATGTCTAACAATTTGGCTTTATTATGAATTTTCTTTTAGTGTCAAGATTAAACCCAAGACCCATCAATGCAGGAAAAACACTCTATACCCTATGTTACAACCTCAAACCCGCAGCTGCGGTATTTTTAAAACAGCCCCACTATTACTCATTTGATGGAAACGTTTAAAGCAGACATGTAGGTCTCTCTCCAGTATTCAGCACTGTGAGGCACTGAAATAAAAGCCAATCCTGAGAATGTAAATTACACAAGCTTCTGGACCCGAATTTATGAAATTTCTTCTCATTTCAGTAAATTGAAGGATCACAAATCTGCACACTGAAACATGTTTTTAAACATAAACACCTATACAATGCTACCTCTTCCTCTGCTAAGTAGGAACATTTTTAGGACAGGCTAGGTCACCTGCTCATGAATACTGAGCATCTACTAGAATGTCAGTGAGTTTTAGGCACACTCAAAAGCAGGTAGTAAGCAAGACAAATAAGGTTCCTTAATTCTGAGTTAAAATCTAGAAAATATTTATTGGAAAGTACAACCTGTCAACTTCAATTTATCCTTCAGTTGATCTCAACTTGAGTTTCTTCCACCGGGACTACAGCTCTCAAAAAAAAAAAAATGTACAACACAATTGGATTTGCCAACCTCTATTAGAGTGAATGACTTTTTGTTATAGGATGCTTAGCAGAATCCTTGGCCTCTACCCACTAAGTACCCTGTTAGGGTTACCTGTTAGATATGCCCTCATCCTCCCCATCCCAACCCCAAGCCTACCTTGGGAAAAACCAAAGTTTCTTTGGTTATAACCAAATATGTCTAAGGTAGGAAATCCCCTTGAAAACACCTGAGTATATAAGAATACCTGAGAATAACCCCTAACTCTTCTCTGCCCTTATCTTCTAAACAGACCACACATAAACATCAGAACTAATAAGCTCAAAACAGTTGTAAGGTTATAACAGGTATTTGATAATGTACAGCAAGCATTTGTTGTGTTGTTCTTTGTGGCTTTAATGATTTTTCCCTCTGATCAAATGCAATGTAAATTACATATGATTTTGCAGAATACCCACTATACTGTCTTTTCATATATGTTCAGGCATACATACACAACTGCATAATAGGAGATCATCAATGAAGATTTTCTTAAAAAGATAAATAGAACTGCTAGGTGAGAGCATAGTAATCACACGAAATTTGAAAGACTAATGAATATCAATGTGTCAAGAAACATAAAGTTGCAAAGTTGGCACCTTTTAAAAGCTCTATCAATAACAGGTGTCCCGTTAATATTAGAAACTTCATACAAAATAGTATTTCGACAAAAAATATAATTTCAGGGTTTTTGTTTGTTGAGAGAAAAAAGCAGGCATAGATGAAACTACGATGTGAAACCTTGAGACTAACAGTCCAGTTACTCCGACTGTTGGTACACAATCACACCTGGTTTGTTACCTGTGCTGCTTTCAACCCACCCATGACCAGCCTCACACAGCACCCATCCCGACCCACCCCTCATGAGGCGCTCACAGCACCCATCCTGACCCCCCCATGACCAGCCGCTCACAGCACCCATCCTGACCCACCCCTGACCAGCCGCTCATAGCACCCATCCTGATCCACCCCTGTCCACCCCTGACCAGCTGCTCACAGTACCCATCCCAACCCACCCCTGACCAGCTGCTCACAGCACCCATCCCGACCCACCCCTGACCAGCCGCTCACAGCACCCATCCCGACCCACCCCTGACCAGCAGCGCACAGCACCCATCCCGACCCACCCCTGACCAGCCGCTCACAGCACCCATCCCGACCCACCCCTGACCAGCCGCTCACAGCACCCGTCCTGACCCACCCCTGGCCAGCTGCTCACAGCACCCATCCCGACCCACTCCTGACCAGCCGCACACAGCACCCATCCCGACCCACCCCTGACCAGCTGCTCACAGCACCCGTCCCGACCCACCCCTGACCAGCTGCTCACAGCACCCGTCCCGACCCACCCCTGACCAGCTGCTCACAGCACCCGTCCCGACCCACCCCTGACCAGCTGCTCACAGCACCCATCCCGACCCACCCCTGACCAGCCGCTCACAGCACCCGTCCCGACCCACCCCTGACCAGCCGCTCACAGCACCCGTTCTGACCCACCCCTGACCAGCTGCTCACAGCACCCATCCCGACCCACCCCTGACCAGCTGCAAACAGCACCCATCCCGACCCACCCCCGACAAGCAGCTCACAGCACCCGTTCTGACCCACCCCTGACCAGCCGCACACAGCACCCATCCCGACCCACTCCTGACCAGCCGCACACAGCACCCATCCCGACCCACCCCCGACAAGCAGCTCACAGCACCCATCCCAACCCACCCCTGACCAGCAGCGCACAGCACCCATCCCGACCCACCCCTGACCAGCCGCACACAGCACCCGTCCCGACCCACCCCTGACCAGCCGCACACAGCACCCATCCCGACCCACCCCTGACCAGCCGCTCACAGCACCCATCCCGACCCACCCCTGACCAGCCGCTCACAGCACCCATCCCGACCCACCCCTGACCAGCCGCTCACAGCACCCATCCCGACCCACCCCTGACCAGCTGCAAACAGCACCCATCCCGACCCACCCCCGACAAGCAGCTCACAGCACCCGTTCTGACCCACCCCTGACCAGCCGCACACAGCACCCATCCCGACCCACTCCTGACCAGCCGCACACAGCACCCATCCCGACCCACCCCCGACAAGCAGCTCACAGCACCCATCCCAACCCACCCCTGACCAGCAGCGCACAGCACCCATCCCGACCCACCCCTGACCAGCCGCACACAGCACCCGTCCCGACCCACCCCTGACCAGCCGCACACAGCACCCATCCCGACCCACCCCTGACCAGCCGCTCACAGCACCCATCCCGACCCACCCCTGACCAGCCGCTCACAGCACCCATCCCGACCCACCCCTGACCAGCCGCTCACAGCACCCATCCCGACCCACCCCTGACCAGCTGCTCACAGCACCCGTTCTGACCCACCCCTGACCAGCTGCTCACAGCACGGGCCCCGCGTCGGGACCGCTCGACCCCAGGGCCGCCGCTTCAGCTCGCAGCCCGGGCCCAGACCGGCACTTACCAGATGGAAGGAGGCCATGTTTCCAGCCCACGATGCCCGACTGAGGCCTGAGAGGGAAGCCCCCGCAGGCCAAGGTTCCAGGAGGGTCGAAAAAAACTAAACCCCGCAGGCCGAGAGGTAAACCGCGGCCGGAGGCGGCCCAGGAGCCGCCGGATCCGCACCGCAGACTCGGCCCTAAATAAACAGCAGAGGCGGAGGAGGATTCAAAACTGCTGCGCGTGCGCAAAACGCACCGCGCAGCCAATAGGCCACTGGCCGTTATTTGCGTTTTTAGAGTCCCGCCCTTCTTCCCGCCCCCTAGCCCGTCACTCCACCTATCAACCCGCCTTTCACAGGTTCCCCGCCCTCCCACCCAGCGCCTTGCCGACCGGCAGAGCGTCTCTCCCCCCCCCCGCCTGTCTCGCCGCCTCCCGCCCCGCCTCTCGCCCGTCTTCCCGTCTCCCGCCTTACGACTTCCGCCCGTCGGCCCCGCCCGTCGCCCCGCCTCCCGCCCGTCGCCCCGCCCTCCCCAAGGTTTAACGCTCCTGTTCCACAGTTCGGTTTTTTCCGAGCACAGTTTGCTGTGCACATACATGGCTGCTTTTATTTGGAAAGCAGATCGAGCACGTGTGATCCTTGAGATAAATGTATAATACGTTTATTACGTTCTATTATGGTTTAATGGCCAATAGTAGGAGGAATTAGAGAGCGAGAGCCGGAAGGTAGTGGAGCATGTCTTTAATCCCAGCACTCGGGAGGTAGTGTGGCAGATATCTGTGAGTTCAAGGCCAGCCTGGTCTACATAAGCAAGTCCCGGAACAGCCAGGGATACGCAGAGAAACCCTGTCTGTCTCGAAAAAACCAAAGAAGAAGGATTAGAGGTAGAAATTGCAGACATCTTGAACAGATTACACAGATTCATCAGCTGCAGCCAAACCAGCTCATCTATACATTATCTCTGAAAATAATAACGATAATAATGCCGTCTATCTTTTTTTCAAGTATGTAGAAATTATTTATGAAGCATCATTGCAGACAAAGTAATTTGCATGAATATGTATGTGTATGTATGTATGTATGTATGTATTAGCAGAGCGACTTATTAAGGGAAAGTGCCTGCTTCAGTCTTACACAAAATTAATGGCCCAGATTGGAAAACAAAATAAACCGATGTTCTGAAAACTATCCCGTACCACTTCTGGGTCACTTAAGAGTCACACAGTTGCAGCCTGTAGCTGAACTATATCCTGAGAGGAAAAAATGCCCTTTAAAAACAAACAAATAATGAGTGAATGAATGAGGGCTAAAGAGATGTCACTGTGGTCAAAAGTGTTTGCCGCACTCTCAGAGCATCAAAACTCGGCTCCCAGCACCCAAACACCAGCTCACAACCATCTATAGCTCCAGTTCCAGGGGATCCGACGCCCTCCTCCGACCTCAGCTGGCACCAAGCATGCAGGTGATGCACTTACATACATGCAGACAAAAAACTCATACCTATAAAGTAAATATTTTTTTCTTTATTGGAGATTATTTAGAATGATGGTGTTCTCTAAGAGCTGTGCTGGTGGCTGCGCCAACGTCTGCCAGGCTTGCCGGCCAGATCCGCCAGAGGGCAGCAGAGCTGCTGCAAACCTAACGGGCAAGAGCTGCATTTATTAATCCTGTTCTCCAATAGAAAGCTGCGGAATCCAGGCAACTTGTACCTTGCACAAGAGCAACGACTGGATAAACCTCAGTGAGGAGTCAGCTGATCCTGGTTACTGAAATAGAGTCTTTCTCCTACGTTGGAAACAATTTGGGACTGTTGTCGTCAAACACAACACTGTGCTTTGTGGGTATTTTGAACAAGAAACACCTGTGACCAAATGGCAGCGAATGATGCTGAATTGTTCAAATGTGCAGACACTGTTTGCTAAAGAAGCAGTTGAGAGTGAATCTACTCTAGAGAATCAGATGAAATGTTCGGGAAAAAAAAACGGATTTTTCCTCGAAACTTTGGTAACCAAAAAGCATAAGCAATCTCTGAACTCCAGGAGAATAAAGAGAGTTGACAGTGAATCTTTGAGTCTCCCAGCTACTAAAGACAAAGAGAACATCACTAATACAGAAGGTTCAGTCGCTTTGGTCAGTGATGCCATCCACGATGACTTGCAAGATGACTCCCGCCACCTCTCTCCATGCTATGCTGATGCAGCCAAACCTGAAGACCTGTACTCAGATGAAAATATTCCGTCCCCTGCAGAGTATGAAGCTCTTGGATATCCATGTGAAACTTTCAGAAAGGCCACATACTGAAGATGACTGAACAGGACAGCCATTGGTCTTTTGTCATCAAAATGCTGAAGTCGGCCAAGGGATGAGGAGAGTGGAGACCACCTCCAGGATGAATGCATCTGTTTTCTAGAGACCTCATCAAGTTAACAGCTCAGAAAGCCATAAAAGAGGGAAGGGAAATGCTCTGGGACTTGGAATCCTCCACGTCATCAAAACCAACTAGCTGGAGCGCTTTACCTGCCTGACTTACAGGAATGGCAGTTCACAGAGTTTAATTTCGAACCCTGTGAAGGCAACAGTCACTGTGTATATAATCATACTGGCCTTGCACATAAATAACTTCAAGATTTTCCTGGTGGTGTCACAGGGGAAATGCCATGCAATGTCCTATGTTTGGATCATCCTTAAGTATCTGTTAATTCAAAGTGACTACAGAAAACCATAAATGATGAAAATGCCAAACTTTATCTTATAGGTAGTACATAAAATTTAGAGATTGTGTAAAAGAGGAAATACAAAGAAAACTGCCTGCAAAGATATGCAGCAAAAATGAAACATTGCTGAAATATGGAACACTTTTCTTATATTGAAAAATATGTTAACGCTAGCAAAATGGATTCTGATTATGGAACACGTCTGATGTTAGAATAAAATTTCACTAATTCTATGGTCAATGAAGGACTGTATTAATCTAGGATTGAGTATAAAGAACAACAATTTGTAATCACTAGTTCAGAACAAAACTCATCCACCATCAGGCATTTAACAGTTTTCAGAAACTTGAGAGGAATGATAAAACTGTGTATTGGGGGGAGAGGGGAGTAGGGAACCATGCTCACAGACACAGTGTGGAATTAAGCCACTGTTTCTACAATCATGAAGCAAATTGAAAAATTAGGAACCTGATAATAATGTCAGTCTCTAAGAACACATAGGCAATGCAATCAGGAAGTCGCCACAATTACAAAACTGCCACCTCACGGAAGCCTCCACAAGTAGCACACCAGTGAACAGCAAGACTGCTTATTGCTTCTGAATTCATGCCACATCACACCTGATATGATACACAGCAGCACAACTGATGTCGCCTGGCTAAATTGTCAACATCCACGAAACTAGAGATCACACGCTGGACCATCCCATCACATTACCATGGAAAAGTCGGATGCTTATGTGCCATTCTTGCCTTTTCTTTGGTGAGAAAAACCAAAGGCAGCATAAAAATTAATTCTGCTTCTCTTCTTCCTTGGCAATCATATTGATTCTTCCCAATCCTACTTGGAAAACTTTCTGAAAAATGCAGAGGTTTTTTTTTTTTTTTAACCTTTTCAACTTCTCCAGTAAAGAATGGCCCTTTAGGAAGGGTTGAAATGGATGTGAAACATCAGTCTGCTTTGCTTTCTCCAGCAACGCCAACTAAATGATCTTAAAAGAGTTTGCAATGGTAGAATGAATTTTAAAGAAATTGGACTAACAATATGATCATTACTCTATCCCCAAAGTATCTATTATTCTGCATTCCTAGTTTCTGTTAAAGCTAGCAGCAGCTTGTGATTGGCTTAATTTGAGAACTGGCGGTCTCTACATATTGGCCTCTGTTAGAGGGAGAAAACAACTTCATGGGAGGAGGGTTGACTTTGCTCCTGGTTTCAGAAGTCTCAGTCCACTATGACATGGGAGAGGGGATACGGTGCAGCAGAACACACATACCACAGAAGCCAGAGAGCAGAGAGAAAGCATGCCTAGCTCACTAGCCCTCTCCCCTTTTACCCCTCTTATTCCATCTGGGTCCCCAGTGTGTGGGATGGTACCACCTACTTTCACAGGGAATCTTTCCCTCTCGTTAATCTTTTCTGTAAATGTTCTCAGACCCATCCAGAATTGTCCTTTGCTAGTTTAGGTGCTCCATAATCAGTTGTCAATCAAGATTCACAACTTCAGATGAATGTGGTGGTGTACACCTTTGGTCCCAGCAGAGGCAGGCAGATCTCTGTGAGTTCCAGGCCAATTAAGCTACATAATGAGACCCTGTCTTAAAAGGGAAGAGGAGAGATTGACAAGCTCCCAAACTATACACACATACATACACACACACACACACACACACACACACACACACACACACACACACACACACAGAGTTACATTATAAGTGTGAACATATAACTGGGAAAAGCTCTTACCAGCTAAAAGTAATTCTTTATACAATACTGAAAATTCTAAGTCTAGCAAATTAAATTATTAAACAGTGCTTCTAGTATAACTTCAGTAGCAGTGGTTTTATACCATTCTTTTCTGACCCAAATACTTCTGGAAATCATGTTCTGAAAGGCTCATTATGTCAATAATTCTTGGGTAAAGGGGGAGGGAAGAAATTCCATATGAGTGCCTATGGATATCGGAGATTATATTACTAGAATTTCCATTTTCTCTACTGAAGACACTTTTATCCTACTAGCATCAACAAAAACTGACTGGGAATAAGACTGTGACTAATAACTCATTCATGTATTCCACCTTGTTATTAAATTTAAAGCTGTTTGTTCCAGTTATGTGTTGTAAACCTAGTATGTGTGTACCTACGTGTGTGTATATGTGTGTGTACATGCATGTGTATGTGCATGTGCGTGTGTGTGTGTGTGTGTGTGTGTGTGTGTGTGTGTGTGTGTGTGTGTGCATTTTTCAAGACAAGATTTCTCTGTGTAACTCTGGCTGTCCTGAAATTCATTTGCTGACCAAGCTGTTCTGAACTCAGCAATTCGCCTGCTTCTGCCTCCTGAGTGCTGGGTTTCAAGGCATGTGTCACCACGCCTGGCAACAGAATTCTATTCAATGTCAATATCTTTTAAATCTATCAGAATGAATTGTGATGCACATGGTAATAAATCAATAAATAATAAGGGCCAGAAACTAAGAAGTGCTGGATGAGGACTGGACATTTCTATTCAGATTTACTGGCTTAAGCAGTACTAATAAGTAGATAATAAAGTAAAAATTCACAGTAACAGAAAGATTTCACCAGGCTGTTGACAGATGGATAAGACATTACCAAATAGATAACAGAAAGGACATGTGAGCACACAGTCCAGGGAGCTGTGAGAAGAAAGACCAAAGGGCTTTGAGACATCTAGGAAGAAGAGTAATGACTACCGCAGAGGGGACTTGTTTGCAAAAGACTTTGGTTGGATATGTTGCTAGTGCCACAAATATGTAGGGTTCAATAAAAGTTGAAAGAAGAAATCTCAAAAGCAGTGAGGATCTGTTAGACAAATGTTAAAGGTGGAAGTGACTTCACCCGTTTGTATTTCATGTGAGTGAGTAGAGAAAAATAATGGGGACTGGTCTGCACATTTGATCTATCTGTAATATAGGATTTCTACTTCAGTAGTGCCAGGGAACAGTGGTGTTGGGATTGCTGACAGGCCTAACTGGCTGATTAATGTTTAAGACAGATTAAACATTCAGATAATGTTTAATTATTATTATGTGTATGTGTGTGTGTGTGTGTGTGTGTGTGTGTGTGTGTGTGTGTGTGTGTGTGTGTGTGTGCATTTTTCAAGACAAGATTTCTCTGTGTAACTCTGGCTGTCCTGAAATTCATTTGCTGACCAAGCTGTTGGGGGCGATGGTTGTAGGAGACATCATTGGTTCTTGGTACATTAAGGATTCATTTTAGTCCCAAATCAATAGACCAAAAGAACCTCATTGATTCTAGGTTTTATTTTGTGTTTGCTTTTTTAAAAGGTAAAAAAGACATAGGTAAGCAGATGTTTGCTTAACAGAAATATTTCTGTCTAGGCCAGCTGAGATGGCTCAGGGGGTTAAAGAACATGCTGTCAAGTCTAAGTCCTTGAGTTCACTCACTCCTCGAGCCCCTCATTGTAAAAGGGAAAACCAATTGCCCTCTGCTCTCCACACAAGCATCGTGGCATGTGCACACTTAAACCTGAGTGTGAGCTCACACACATGCGCACACACTAAGTAAATGTCAAAAAATAGTTCTTTCTGTATTTTTCTGGAGGCCTTCTTTTTCTCTCCTATAAAACTCTACAGCCATGACTAGGCATGGTAGCACAAACCTTCATCCCAGCACTTTGGGAGCAGAAGCAAATGGATCTCTGTGAATTTGAGACCAGCCTGGTCTACAGAGTAAAATTTCAGACCAGCCATGGCTACAAAATGAGATCCTGTTTTAAAACAAAAAACAAAATCTCTCTATAGATCCTATAGATTTTATATATATATATATATATATATATATATATATATATATATATAGAGAGAGAGAGAGAGAGAGAGAGAGGTTGAGAGAGGTTATATGTCCACTAGAATCAATACAAGAATATTCAATGAAGTATTTTTCAATGAACACAGTTTATTTAAGTCACGTATTTTAGAAATAAAGACAGCAATAAACCATAATAAAAGCTGAGAAAGTCGAATGTGTCCTTGGTGTCTCTAAAGCCCACAATGCCTGCACCTGTTCCTTTCATCCTTAGGAGATGATAATCTGCTGTTTATTTTGCTACCATAAATCTAAGCACATGAAGCTTGAAACGAGGTTGCCTTTTAAAAGTTGGTCTGTGCCTGATCTTTCTTACTTCACTGAAAGCAAAGGGGGGAAAGTGTGTGTGTGTGTGTGTGTGTGTCCTGTTGGTGGAAGGGTTGGTGGTTAAAAGCAAGTTGGGACTTCCTCTTTGAACAGTTGCCTTTCCTCTCACAAAACGGAGATTTCATTTTGTCTGAAGCTGGATAGAATTGAAAGCGAACCAAACACCAAAGCCACGGGCATGATGGCTAAGAAGCCCCCAAAACCAGCGCCCCGCAGGATCTTCCAGGAGAGGTTAAAGATCACTGCTCTACCCCTGTACTTTGAAGGGTTTTTATTAGTCAAACGGTCTGATTACCAGGTAAGTCTGTAGATAAGAACTTTAAACCTGAAAGTTTTCACTTAACATAAAACTTACTTCTTAACATTGCAATGTGATGAGGCCTCCTTGTCTCTGTTTGGGTTATACCTTCTTCCTTGAGTGAGAAGAGTGACTCTAATTTTGAATAGCTTAAATACAATGCACAGCACGTGTGTGTGTGTGTGTGTGTGTGTGTATACATATATACATATATATGCATGTATAATAAGTTCTCTAATATTTATCCGTAATAGAAAAACTCAATGAAATTTCCAAAGGATTCTTCCAAACATCACATAAGATTTTGGTTTTCAAGATAATTTTTTTAATGATTTCTCAGCAATTAACTACTATACTTCAGTGGTGATGAATTACATAAAGAGAAGATGACTTTAGGATGACTAATAACACACTCCTACTCTCAGTCATACTGAAATGAATGGTAAACTTTGATAAAATTGTGAAAATTTGATATTTATTTCATATTGCTTCATTTCACATTCTGAAAATACTGTTCATGATACTGGCTTTAAAAGAGAGGATTTAGGGTGGTATTATGAATAGTAAATACACTAATTTTGTTTTTAAAAATGTACCTTTACTCTAAGAAAACTCACAAAGTATTCTACATATTTTTAAATGTAAAATTTTAAATTATAGTTATTAAAAAGTATTTCCTTTAAAGTTGTAAGTGTGGACAACATAAGATTAATTAGAGAAATGAACATGAAATCATGTTACTGAAAAAGTAAAGAAGCCCTTGGTGTAGGTAAAATATTATGAAATGTTAATATTGGCTAAAGCTAGCAAAGTTTTAAATGGCTACAGAAATAACAATAAGTGTTCAATTGATGATAAGTCAAGGCCTTAGAGAATTCATTAACATCCATGGAAAAATTATGAATGTAAAAATACTATAACAGTATATTCATATTGTGTATACACATGGTAAAGACATTTGCCATTTGAAAGCCAGACTGCAACTCTTGTAGGTGGTAAACATTTGTCAGTAAATTTGAAAACTATTTTGGAATTTTTGTTATTGTTGTTGTTATTGATCATACACAGTTCAGCTATATGGTTTTACTTCACCAAAAATGGGGAACAGCTGAAAGTCAATTTCTAGTTGGTAATGTAAATTTGGTCATTCACTGACTGCCTTTCCAGAGTGTCTCTAATAATTGCGTCTGATACCAAGATCTTTCAGATGTTTAAACAAGGCATGAGTGGGTATGGTTAGCAGAAAAAAAATCCACAATTTTAGACTATCGGTAAACTTGATGGTTTTTCCACATACAACTTGTGACCTTGTGAAAACTACTCCATCATCTCCCCTAGACTCAGTTTATTCAACTTCAAAGAAAAAGAAGGATACTACTTGCCTAGCATAATATATTATTATTTGCATTGTATTCTTTATTATTTCTGGTATAAGTAAGTATGGTACTGAATCCATTTGTTTTTCAAGCAGCATTGTACACCTTTTATACAACAAACATGAGAAGAGGCTTAGCTTAGTAGTAGTTATGATTTCTTATCTAACTCCTACTCTGGTTTTTCTTAGAAAGCATGCTTTAAAACAGAATGAACTATAATCAACTATTTCTCATAAGAGCTGGGGATATAGCTAAGTGGTAGGGCACTTATCTAAGATGTATCAGGCCCTGAGTTCAATTGGAGTACAGAAATATAAATAATTGTGAAGTGTATACATGAGAAAACTAATTTGTTTACCCGTTTGAATTTATAGCCAAGTTCCTTTCCCTTGTGTAGTAAGTAGAAGAGGAACTAGAGAATGGCAACAATGTCAACGTACATGGTGGTTTCAAAGATGAAAATGATAACTATATAGAACACCAATTTCACACTTAAGATTAATTAGATTCATTTTCTTCTGATTTACTTATTTGTTGGCTAACATACTGAAGTCAGTTTGAGGTCTATAAATGAAATTGCTCAAAGGGACACCGTAGTGCTCACAAACGTAAATATAGAAGCCATGAGAGGAACACTAAAGGAAATAAGTGGGATTTCCCCACAACTGGCAGCAAATGCCAGGGAGCATTGAGAAGCAAGCTGAGCAGAGAAGGTTACTGACCAGTCAGCTGTGGAGCTAGCTCACGGTGTCAATGACATGGAGAGGCTATGCGGAGCGCTGAGTCCCTGCTGAAAACAAATCCAGAAGACTGAACTAGAGAAAACTGGGTTAAAGAATAAGGTGTTCAATAAAGAAGTTACAGGAAGAGAGGTTCTTATTACAAGGTTTTCACTTTAGTTTAGTTTAGTTTAGTTTTATTCTTCTCTCATACATTGCATTCAACCCACAGTTTCCCCTCCCTCCCCTCCCCTTGTCTCTCCACCCCACCTCCCCGTTCCACCAGATCCACACCCCCTCTGTTTCCCCTCAGTAAAGAGCAGGCCTCCCAGTGACCTCAAACAAAGGCAGCATAACAAGCCTCAAAAGACCAGGCACATACCATCACATCAAGGAGAAAAAGAGTACCACAAGCAGTTGTTGCAAGCTTTTTTTTTTTTTTTTTTTTTTTTGGTTTTTCAAGACAGGGTTTCTCTGTGTAGCTTTGCTCCTTGGCAGTCCAGGCTGGCCTCGAACTCACAGAGATCCACCTGCCTCTGCCTCCCGAGTGCTGGGATTAAAGGCGTGAGCCACCACCGCCCGGCGTTGCAAGCTTTTTAACAGATCACTTTAAAAATATAGTGTCTCACCCCCAGGAATAATGCACCTATGCTTATTTTAATACAATTCTAGAAGGACCCGGAATTTCAGGTCAATAATCTATGAAAAGTATCTTTCAAGGGGAAAGGTATGGGAAGATTTACTTGAACTGTAGCATTAGGATTTTGGATTGACTAAGAAGACATACTCAATAATTAAAACACAATCAAATACAAAATATATCGCACTTTTTATAAATCAGAACTGGAACTTTAAACACAAGAAAGTTCAGGTACTAGCCCATTGTTCTTTCCATCTGTGATGTACACAGCTTTAAAGAATGTAATATGTCCTCTTAGCCTGAACATGATGATGTGATCATCATAATATATCAAAGTGTCACTTCTTTGATGGCCCTCACATTTATGAAGCTTTTAGTATTACTTCAATTATGTCATGAAACACATTTCTTTATACCAGAAAACTCCAAAATTTTATAATAGCATGCCTCTTCCAGAAAAACATTTGGAACACAGATATTCTCTATGACAATATGAACATATGTACCCCCTTTACAAATATTCTATGCAAATTGCTGAATATATGCAAAAGGAATTAAGAAGAAATACATTATATAAGTAGATATCCTCTAAGTTTCCCAATGGATGCTCTTGCAGGTTTTGGGTATGTGCACCTCATTTTGGAGAAGCATTATATAACATCTTCAGCTATCCAAATGCCTTGTTGTTAGGAAAAAGAGGACCATTTTGTTGGGGGAGAAGGATAGAGAGAAACTTAAATGGAAATTCCAGTGGATTGTATTATAACCTATCTTATCTAGTTACATTACCAAGAAAAAATTCTGTGGAGACAAGAGATTGGTCAACGTTTATAAAGTGTACAATTCTTTTAAGTGTAATCTGTCTCCTCCTTCGTAAAATGGTTGATTAATCTTTTGCATAAGTAAATGAATTTGTGGAACAAATGGAGCATGTGACAGTGGATATATTTTATTGAGGTTTGACTGTGGAGGATATTATGCAAGGGTCTTAATGTCTTGTCACTCCAGTTGTTAAAACAGCTCTTTTGGATAGAAAGTTTGTGCATCTCACAGATAGATATCTGTGGCTCATGGAAGTTTTGTTGACAATTCCTCATCAACTAAAAAGTATGGATTTTATTGTGAGGCATGTGACAAAATGTTGCCTCTCAAACTCAAGTTCTAATTCCATTTGACAGTAGCTTCCAGATATTACAGATGCCGTTTTAGGTAGACATTTCATCATGAACTCAACAATAAGCTTAGCAGACTTTCACAATCTTTTGAGTATAATGAGACAATGACCTTAAATTCTAACTATAAAGTAATCGGTGGTTACGAAGCAAGGGATAAATTAGAAATCTCACTTCAGCACCTTTAGTCCAGAGATTTAATGTAGATTAAAATGCAAGAAACTATGTGCTAAATGCACTCCATCCAGAGATATGGCCATCAAAAGTAATTTTGAAAATATTTAAACATCTATACAAATAAAAATACATATCTAGAAAGATACTAATTGTTTAGTATTAGTCAAGTTATACTAGAATCCATGTGGTCTTATCAGAAACTAATTCAGGTTTCTGACTTTCTCTCTACACACTAAACAGAAGCTACCTCTATCTTTGGGTTTGTGACTGTGGCTGAAGCTCATGGGTCGTACTGCTATTTCTAACCTTATTTTTCCTCCAACAACATTTGTACTCAAGTCATTGCCTTTATATTTGGTTCATATTCTATCCAATAACTTCTCCTTATTTGTGTCTATCAATTTATAGGATTGCTCACCCTTTAACTCCTGTTTATGCCCTGGCGAATTCTACCCAATTAATACCATTCTGTTGTGTTGGGCCATCTCTGTAATTTTTCTCAGGAGCACAAATAGACACTCACAAGGGCATACTGAGGAATCTTGATAATATTTGTCTTTTTAAAATGATGTTAGCCTTTTTTTCTTCTGAAGGCCAGTTAGGAAAATGAACAGAGTGGTAGAGCGACTTCTAGTGTTTTCTCCAAGACTATCTTGGGTTAGACTTGATTTTAGAGGCTCCTTATCTGTTAAGCATCACTAATGGTCATGTTCCCTAAATGATGCACCTACATTTCAACTGCTTCTATAGCACTCTCCCTCATTGCTGTTCTAGATCCAAAACACAAAATAGCTTTGACCTATTCCCTTCATTACAGAGGCTTACTGAAAACTCCCTCCAGCGCCCCCAAAAAGAGTATGGTAAACTAAATAAGCCAGCTCCTCAGACATAACTCTTTTTGATAATTCATTGCAGG